AGATGGTGGTAGCTACGGTTTCAGCTAATCAATGTGCAGGACATCACGACTAAATCGCCAACGTCGTTGCGTAAAACCTGCCAAACGAAGTGCGCGAAATTGCCCTAAAATGACAAGGTAAAAATGGCGGGGCTTGGAGGATTCCTAATCCTCAGCGGATTTTGGGATGGAATGCCATGTTGAATCACGGAGCGGACTGCTTTCTGATGGCATGCTTCGCATTCATTGCACATTCGGATCATTTTACACGAGACGTTTACGGGTGTGAATGACTTGATAACGTAGACCCTCACAGGTGTAAAGTTCTGGCTAGCAGCTGCTAGACGGTTGCCCTTGGTCTAGTTGACGAAACCTGAGCGTCTTAGGGGCTTTAGCTTTCTCTGGGTCTTTCCATGTTTTGCAGGATTTCGCCTTGGACAAATAATCAACGACTGGCCAGCGCTCTCCATTTGGCGCACCGAGAGCTTGCAGCTTTAGGAAAAGTGTTGGATGAGAATTGGGCAGATTATCCCTACCCGGGCCACGCATGGCAAAACAGACTTAGTTTATCACGTTTAGCGCATACGAGCACACTTAGCTAATCGTAAAAATCGGTAAATTGCATGTCCTTACAGCGCTCGAACGGAAAACCCCGGACAGCATTTGTGACCAGTGACAGAAGGTGTTTATTTTTCCTGTCGTCTGATGGGCTCCACTAAAGTTGAATAGTTTATTTGCCTTTGGAAGGCTCAAGCTTTCTTGCTATTCCGGCGACACAGCGGAGCGCTCAGGGGTCGTTTATTGACACGTAAGTCCCAGCTGTCATTGTCAGCGGTACGCCCTGCCCCAGGGACGGGCCAGGGCGTCAACCGGGATATCATACCCACGCACGCGCCTCTGTTGGATGCGTGTTACAGCCCAAGCGGGTGGAGCAAACTGTCCGGCTGCAGGAGCATTTGGAACGCTCCCCTAGATGGGCACGGCTATCGAAATGAGGTCAAAGCGTCACGAAATTGCTCTCATGAAGGTGCATTTGAGCGCGCCAAAGTTACGGTACTGACCACCGCATACATGCACATAGACACCTTGACGAGCACGAAGACCCGGGAAACATAAAAAATAACCGCGTGCCCTCGGCACCATGCAGTTACCAAAATAACTGCATCCGGCAAATGCTGTGAAAAACTCGCCAGCCTTGGGCTGTGCCCGTGTTCCGCACTCGCTTCTCCGCGCCTAGTTAGGCACCAATAGCATGGCCCGGCACGTACCGGCGGATCACTCACACCGTGCCAACCCCGGGAGGGCACGTACCTACGGCCGTGCTGCGCAGGCCGTCAGCGCTCCTCGCCGCTCGGCCGCGCAGTGCGACCACAGCTCGTGCGCCACTGCTGGCCCGCCCCCGTGCAGCGCGGCATGCAGGAATGCCGCCGCTCGCGCCGCGCCGGACTCATCGCTTGTCCCCGACAGGGAGCTGCCGCCGGTGGGGCGCTTCCCATGGCCTTTGTTTTCGACAATTAAACCGGGCCGGAGCGCGGGAAGGTCGTCAAAGGTGACGGCGTGTCTGGTGTTCCATCCAACTCCAAAACAAGGGCGCTTGCGGTGTCTGGACTTTTTTGTTCGGGCACCGGCCGTTGTTTATTCTGTGCACATAGGCTGTCGCGTGTTATCGGGCGTTCGGTGTAAACCACAATCGGCTTCCCATCGCCTCACCCGTTACGTAACGCCGTGCCGTTGGCGCCTGTTTCAGAGCCCGCTCCACGGTCGATGTAAGACGGCAGCTCGCGGTAGGCGGCCCCCGCCCACCGGCGCCGGGGCGACCGCCCAAGAAGCCTCACCTGCGTACTCTCAGCCTCGGCAGCGCGCCGCCAGCGGCAGCACCGTCGCTAGGCCAACCGGGGGCCGTGGGGGCGCCACCGTCTGATCCAGCCGGGCGGCCGCCGCCGGCGCGCCTGCCGGGGAGACCGGCCGTGGTCGGCTGTCGTTGCGCGGACCTGTCCTCTCCGCTGCCGCCGCCGCCGGGGCCGAGTCAGGACACGGAGCGTGTCAGTGTCGGCGTCGAGCCAGTGTGCGCGTCGTCTGCGCCGTCGGCGCCCGGTAACACAGTGATGACGAGTGACGATCGGAGCGCGCCACTTCCGCCACCTCAGGCTGCTGGCGGTAGCAGTGACATTGAAGGGTTGCTGTCAACCCCGCCGGAGGATTCTGCATCTGAGGTGCCATGCGGGACGAGTTCGAGTCTCGTCCAGGCGCAGCAGGACACCGCGCAGTCACCCTCGTCTGCGGCGGAGTCAGAGTCGCGACAGAGGTCCCCAGCCGCCGACGACTCGGCCGGTCTGAGCCAGTCAGAACGCCCGGAGCAGGCGACCTCTGAGCAAACCCCAGGATCAGAGGCCACTGGAGGACCGCCGGGCGCCTGACGTCTCAGCACGATCACCAGCGAGTCACGTCTCATGACGATGCCAAGAAGTCGTGCCAGCCCTCGTCGGGAGCTGCGGACGCAGGGAGACTCACCCGACAGGCGTCCCCAATGCGGGATCGGGTCAGGGCTTGGCACGGCTGGGGCCCAGGCAGAGCTGGACGTCAGGAGCGTACCAGCGCTACAAGCCGGAGCTGCCGCCCAGGACCCACCGCGGGTAAGTGTTGCAGTGAGGAGCTCTTCACTATTCTGGTGTTGCACAGTGTTTTTGTCTCCTTTTTTGCTGTAATCTTGCCCGGTATCCAGTGTTGAGTGTTTCGGAGCAATGGGAAGGCGATCTATTTTTCGCCCTTTCGGTGGATGTTTTCGAAAGAGGGCACGCTTAGCACACTCCTTGACCCCTTGATGGTGATGACCATGATTGCAGTTTTCAGGGGAAATATATATGCGAGCAATCGCGATATTGATGCAGAGCGCGCACCAACATTTTCAAGCATGGGGCGTAGTAAAAAAGCAGTCCAAACTGGCTTCAACTGCAGCCATAAATCATGATGGCGTGACCAGAAACGAATCGTCCCGAAAACGGCTTCTGAGGGCAAGAATGAGATTGATACAATTGGTTGCTACGCAACACCATAGCGTGTTCTATTTGAATTGGCGTTGTTTTTGTTCAACTCGGGCCTGCCTGATCCTATCGCTCCCAGCTGCGTCATGACTGTGACCACTACCGGTGCCTTTAGCTGGGGAAGCTACCGGAGTTGACTGCTGGAGGAGTGAACCGATAGCCTGGCCGAGGTACTCGCGGGGAGGGGGAGGGGGAGGGATGATTCTGAAACCGGGACAGGCTCCCCTTTGTCAGTGGCTAATTGGTGAACATTTCCGTTTGTCGACCCTCCTTTCGAATTTAAGGAAGCCATATCATCCCGACAGCAGACTTCCAGATGGTCGAGACAAAACACTGCACCAAATCAAAAGAAGAGCCCCCAGGGCGAGACTGAAAGAATTTCTGTCCTGTGGAAGGCTGTAGATAGCCAAAGGCTGGTCCTCTTGATCACCAGGATGTTAGCAGACGATCCAAAGGAGGCTCCATCAGATGAACAGGAAGCCCCTTAAAAGAGGAAACCTTGCCAGCCCAAGGGGAGTCCAGATTACCAAAACTGGAGGCCCCACGAGGCCAAGATATATAATCAAATGATACATTTTTGCTTTTAAAAGAACTGGGCGAAATCCAGCACAATTTGTATAGTATGTTTGAAATGGAAGGCTCTACATCCGCTTAGGAGGTCCCAAAGTCTGCATGCCCCGTTGGTGTAGAAATGTGGTGACACTGCCCCTAGAATAAGGCCTCCATGTGAAGCTCGCTGCCACACACATGTGACATCATTTGGCAATGAGCACGACTGCTCGATATGGGTAAAGCCGATTTGTCCCGCAGATTTGACGCTTGCTGCACGTGAAGCCCCTGACCCGGATCCCCACGAGATCGGGGGATCTTGGCGCCTGATACAGATAAGCTAATTAGCAGCGCATGCTGCTCGACTGGCTCAAGGGATAAACGTGATATCTAAAAATGACAGTAGTGTTTTGCCGGCATCGCGAGTGATTGGAGGATCTGGGGTTTTGAAACAAGGATTCATCTGCACTTTTTCTTTATACTTTTAGAACGACGTCGTCTTTGTAAGCCCCAGCTATACTGAAACAGTGGCGACATGATCGCAGGCGATTTCATTAACATCTCTAAGGCGCTGTCTTACCATATCTCAGTAGCTTCTTCACCAGCATTTTGTAAAATGTTGATAGGATAACAGAATATCATCACAATGAAAACAATGAATCATACTTTCGACTCGAAGCTCAGTTCGTTAGTCTTCGCGTTGCGCAGGGTTTCGACCTCATTTGACCTGTGCAAAGCGTATGCAGTTCTCATGTAATTCTGCTCAACAAACTCGCTTAAAGTAATATAGAATGGCATTAGTCATCGTCATAGACTCAGATCTATGACCAAGCACATTCACAAGAATTCCGTTTGGGGGGAGGGGGGTCACGAAGTCTCGTCAAGTCGATGAGTTCAGTGTACCATCACAGGATTAATGCTAACCATTCGTGAAGAGTGGGGAGAGGGGGAGGGCCCGGCGCCCTGATTCCCTCCCCCGCCCACGCTTCGTCCTTGCGCGCACTTTCTAACACGAGCTTGTCTCTGGCTGGAAAACCTCAAGCAACATCTTGACGTGGTATTACTGTGGTGTATGGCAGTTGTTTAGGGCGCCTACGCGCCAGGCAAGTGGAGCTGCGCGAGAGAGTTGGGCTTGGGTGGTGGCGCGTGGCGAGGGCGCGGCGTGTTCGGTCGCCTCGGACGTTATATTATTGCTATTGTTGTTATTACCGAGGTATTGGGCAAATACTCACGGTAACACTTGACTTAGTGTATGGGCGGACAGCAAGAGCGGACAGGATACTACAGTTACCCATTGGCATATCCTAAGATTTTAATCTTCGAGAGCTAGCATTGGAAAAAGGCTTTGTGCGAACAGGTAATCACATAAACCCATGTTCAACATCACCCATTTTCATAAAACAAGAGAGCTAGTGCTGTCCGTACCTCTTGTTGATCATCAATACGCTGATAATTTTCGGAGGATTTTTGTTCAGCGGCATCGACAACATTGGCGCATTGAGTAAACGGTTTCTTTGCATGTTCCAATGCAGTAGTCATTTAAGACCTCGCTTTGCTTAAGTGAGATGGTGAAGTACATTTGATTTTGGATCACTTTCTCTCTGAGAATAGCATATCGTAGTTTCACTGTTCACTGATTCCAGTCTGGGCTCCAGAGCTTCTGAGATACGTCACTGGTCACTTATTAACATCAAAGGTTCTGCTCTTGATTGCGGGAAGACACCGTTTTTGTAAGTTATCAAGGCATTTTATCACGTCCGTGCCAATTTAAAGGCTCTGAGACCGACGGTATAAGGATCAAATCGAGGACGTCGTTCTCAGCTTAAGAACTCCTGGTCACCGGCGACCGATGGAAGAAGCCTCTCTTTCCCCATCCCTCAGAGCCTGTTGTACACACATTCGTGATACACGCACACACGCATAAATGCTTGGAGTGCCGTTTCGAACAGCAGGTCATCCTCGTGAAAATGCTTGATTTGAGCATTCCGAGGCCACGCCGTCTGTATTGTGTTTGATCGAAAATTATTATTAGATGTTTGACGGCCGATGGTATTGTTTCCGTTCCCGTAAAGAAGAGAAAACCTTGGTTAGTCATCTCTCCACACACCGCAGCAGAGCAGACGGAAAATATCGAGCCAGGGGCGGTTCCAGCAGTAGCTGGCGGTAACGCTCCTGGCTACTGGACGCCACCGCTGACATTATGCCGTTCTGTCATTCAGCGACGGCATCTGCCCGTCGGCCAACCGCCCTCATTTGCTCCGGGATCGCTACTGGGGCTTCTAAGCCGCATCTTAGCCTCGCCCGACCAGCGCACGGTCTGATTAGCCATGGCCATGACACGCACGGCATGCCGCTGCGGGCTAGCCACGGGCATCGGAGGCGAACCCCCGCCTTTCGCAGGATTTGGGCGTTCCAGGGAAGCTCTGTCTGATCAGACAGCTTTCATGCAGAAGACCTGGGCAATATCACAGCCCAGCTTTTCAGGATTGCATTGCCTTCTCTGGTTGCGGACGACTGTACGACGGTTTGATCAATGGCTGCAAGCAATGATTGGACCCATTCGTGTTCATTAAAAAGCCTTTGAAGCCCATTAAAAGCATGAAAATCAGACCCGGTACCTTTCCTTCAGCATTTGCGCCAGGATTTATGTCATGTTTACGGAAACGGCCAACTCGTCACAGTTTACCTGCGAAGTTGTGCGCCCGTCACGACGCGACCGTTGCGTAAAAGCAAGACGCCAGTCCTAAGCGAGCGGGCATCCTGATGGCATGCGTGCTCCTCCCTTCATCACAAGTCACAGCATACGCGAAAATCAGACCAGTTGGCTCTCCTCGCTCCGGGCAACCGCCCCGGGCTCCGTGGCCTCCGCTTGCGTGAGCCAATCAGGGCACCGCGTGCGTCGGGGGCAGGGGAGGGGCCGCGAGCTGCTGACCTTCCGCGCTCTTTGTGACCCGGCGGCAGTCGGCCGATCGAGAGTGGTGCATTGGACCGGAGCGGCGCCTGGACATCATGCTGCAAGACTGGTTCTGGAGTGAGTAGCGCCGTTTTTTACGTGTTATGCCGCAGACCGGTTTAGAGCAGGTGGCGCACGAAGTTTGAATGGTCGTCAAAATCTGCTCACCACATCATTCATTGATGGTGACAGCATGGATGATAACAATACATGAGACATTTTGGAAAATGAATTGTTTTAGTCGGGGTAAACTGTCAGATTAAGTGGGCGTCAGCTACTTTTGCGCCAGATGCGTCGTTACACATTTTTGCTTTGCTGCATTTCACTTCGGCTTGGGCTAGGCTGGTAACCACCTCCGAATGTTCCATCTGTGTTGTCACTGCATATGTTACTTTGGTCTCGGTTGAGCTGATACGTTCCAGTATCGCTTAAAGTTTCATCTGAGTGGCCACACAGTCTGGCTCTGTACACTGAACTTGTGTTGTAACGGTGGCGTAGTTGGCGGCGCGTTTTTATCCAAGGCATGAACATGACTATTTTCACTGTCTGCACCCCTTTTCACATTTTCCCTTTTCATTGATTGCTGGTATATTGGCTTGTAGGTTTATTGCTGGTATATTGACATACGCTGCTTTGAGTGCTTGAAGGGAGTGTCCCACCTTTAGAGCATGTTCCAGAAACATATTCGAGTGAAACCTCAGCACTAGTTACGTCTGATCCTGAGGTTTCACTGCAGCTGCGCTACCCAAAACTTTTGGTAGCGTCACTGCAGGACCGTCAAAACATAATAGGGACATAAATTTTGATTTTTTGTGTCCAAATTGCGCTGTCAACGCTATGTAACAGCACAACGCTTCTTCCCTGCACTCGCAACCACCCTCGTCATTACAACCGCCTCGCGCACCTCTACTGGTGCGAGTGGAATAACCTCTGTATTTTGACTCTTTGTACAACTGGTGCTCTTTGCTAAACAATTTAACTCGCAGCTGATGTGAACGTCGAATCTCAGTTTCCCAGCTGTTAACAAATATGATCTAGCCCAATAGTAGACCACCTCCGTCCTGCTGAGCCAATATGGTGTCACGCACCTCCACATAATGCAGTCTGATGCCGTGGCTTGCTCAAGAACTCGTGTTCTTAGCTCTAGCGGTGTCAGTGGTGTCATTTGCCCAGCTCTAGCGGTGTCTGTCGTTGGGCAGCGCCGCGCTCATCCAAGGAAACCTGGCGGGCGCTGCCACAGGCACCACGCTGACGAAGGACGGCCGTGAGTACCGATGGCTGCCGACCTTCTCCGAGGTGGACGACAGCTGCGAGAGTGTCGACCTGCAGGCGGAGGGTCATGGCAAGACGCTCCAGCTCACCCTGGCTCTGGTTAGCCCCGATGCCAAGACGGGGGAGGTGCAGGTACGGCCGCACAGCGCTGGGAAGTGGCAGAGGAGCAGGCAAAGCACCTCAGTGGTGTCTCGGAAATGGGGCTTATCCGGTCCCGAACTGAAAGTTGCATTCACAGTTTCACTTTGCATGCACAAATTTGGAAGTACAGTGGTGTGCTATGTAGCAAGTAGGGAAATGTGTGCCCCGAGAACATTAAATGCTGCAATATGTACCGAGATCTAATATGTATTCTACCTCCACCAACGAAGTCAAACTTGTACAAACGTTCCGGAAATGGCGTCGACCAATCACAAATAGCTGGTCTGCCGTTCCGGAAATGGCGTCGACCAATCACGAATAGCTGGTCTGCAGTCTGTTCGGTGGCCGAGGACGACTCTGACCAGCGCCCACCCGAGGCACAGCTGCGGGTGACTGGCCGAGCTGTGACGTGCCTCTGCCCGGCGGCAGGAGGTGGAGGTGGTGACCAAGGACTCGCGCGAGGCGGACGTGGTGGCGACGGTGGCCGTGCTGGTGGCCGGCTCGCTGTACCAGACGTCGCTGTCCGTGGAGCTGCCCCAGGTGGCGGCCACGCTGAGGCTGAAGCGTGGCGACGGACCCGTCACACTCGTCGGCAAGGAATTTGTCGGTACGAGCGTGGGCCGAGGTGGCACAGACTGGGAGGTGATTTCAGCGCTGGTGTGGCGGGGGATTGCAGGCTCTTCCGCCCCAGGCTTCCGACTGAGGCGTCGACATAGATGCCTCTGATAAGAAGGCTGCAAATGTGAGCCAGGGAAGCACAGACCGCAGCCAATAATATTTAACATGTTTTATGTCGCATGATACACGAATGTGTTACGCAATTCCTCCGTCCAAATACTAGATAAAGCAACGCTCAATACTAATTTTTCATTTATATCCCTTCCTGCCACGGTGGCAGGCAGGACGACGCTATATCACCTCATCAGCTGAGTGTAACGTAATGCCCCAATCATGCACGAGATAGAATGCAATATATCAGAAATGAGGCCAAATTTATTGAGACTGCGGGCCTGCTCCTTGTTAGAAATGGGGGATATTCGGACGATCGTGAATTTTAACTATGGACTTAGCAGATTCTAAACTTATTTTGGGAATTTCTGTCCAACCTGTTTGACTCGTTTCCAACATCCGGGCTTCCTCCCAGTATAGACGTGTCCAGCTTCCCGTCATCCTCGTTCTTCTGTATACTTCTTACACACGTGTTTTTAATGAATTAGCGGAGCATTCCCCTTCCAATTTTGGGTGTAACGATGCAACATTTCATATACCCCCATCAGCGAACTGATTTACACGCTTTACGTTGTGACTCACGTCGTGTATGCTCAGATAACACGGGTGGGAACGGGGGTCGTCCAACAAGCCGTTTTCCCTTTTCTATCGCTGGATGTCGGGATACCACACCGTTTGTATTATGTGGCGCTAGGAGTCAAAGGATTCCACCAGACTGTGCTTGTGTGGCCATGTTCAGTTTGAGCTATTTACATGCACCTTGTTGCTTTTTAGACCGGGATATGGATCCCGATGAAGATCTTGAGGAGGAAGAGTTGGATGATGAAGCTGAGGAAGAGGCTGTGGAAGAGATAGGTGGTGCAAAAGGTACCGCTGTATTCATAAATAATATTTCAGCGCACTTAAAGATATTTCAGTCGCTTTTTCTTGCAAAGCTTGCGTTTGCACCATCTTATAATGCAATTCTCACTTTAGAGCGTGGGCATGTGAAGATGCCCCTCACAATGGCATCAAGCTTCACCCGGGGTTATGCGGATACGTATCGTCGATGAGGTGCTGGGAAAACACCAGACCACTGCGCACTGAAAAGGCGCTTTGAGTTTCACGGGATTGCAGCAATTTTGGTAACAGGGCTGTGTGATATGTATATCCCGCTCCATTTTGAGATGTCTTACGTGCACTCCAGTTCACGTCATGGGAGGTTATCTGCAACGGCTGCGTCAGTGCCGCGCCTTCCACCCTTAATATCTGTGGCACTTGTGATCGCGTGCTGACCCTCGAAATGAACAAACTGGCTTTCATTTTTAGATCGACCAGAAGAAGCGAAAAAAGCCGGAAACCAACGGGAGGGCAGCGAATGGAGTAAGCAACGCCAAGAGAACGAAGGTAGACATTAAGGTGAGTTCTTAAATGTTCAATCAGTGTCGTCTTAAGCCCGGTCTCATCTTGCGGAGAGTTCACTTGCCGATTTTTTTTTTTATCGAGGAGAGAATAACTAACGTAGGTAACAGACGTGATGTACGTGTGCGATAGAATCCCATACAGTACTGTGTGGTGCCTCGCAAACCGCATTGGCTTCCGCATAGCGCGATTTCATTGATTATTCAGTTGAAACTTACATCATGCTTGTCTCTCTAGAACAACGGTATGGACGACGATGCGGACGAAGACGAAGAAGCTGACATGGACGAAGGCGAGCTAGACGAGTCCGACGAGGACTTCAGCGAGGACGAGGAGCCGCCAGTGCGCGTGAAGAAGTCGGCCAAGAAGACCCCTGCTGTGGTCGCCGCTGCCCCCCAAAAGAAACAGCCGCCAGCAGGCAAGAAGCCAGGATCAGGTAAAAAGCCGCAAGCCAAGAAAACGCCCAAAGCCAAGGCTTGATTGCTTGTTTAATGCGGTGCCAAGTTGTGCCTTGAAATGTATATGCAGTGTTACGAAATATATGTTGCAAGGTTATCAGCATTTTGAAATCTTTCTCAGGAGCCAAACACAATTTCGGAAGTGTTGACTGCATACCACAGCTGCTACGAAATAACTGATGCATGTCATACCTACTGTTCTCCCGATCTCCTGTCGCCGAGTCCGATATCTGCACTTGTTTCTTTTCCTCCTAGTTCGGAGCAAACGTTACAGGGAGGATGACTGAGAGGATGTTACAGTTGGGTTAGGATGATATACCGTGAATGCAGGACGTGAATGACATCAGGACATTACTGGTATAGTAGCCTCGCTCCTTTGCATGGCCGTTTTCACCAGGGACTGAGGCAGGGACGTCTAGTTCTGCTGACTGTTTTTTGGTTTGTTGTTCACCAATCCAGCCAACCAATCGTGCTAATTCAAAAGGCATTTAGTTTTGTTTGGTTTATAATGAGTGATATATTGATTTGATCATGCAGTGATTTTGTGAACAAGCATACCAGGCCCACCAGGGGGCTGTCGAAGGCGTCACATGGCAGTTGATTTTTTTATTTATTTATTTATTTTTTGATGGCGCTGAATGTTTCAATAGTCTTGTGTGCTTCAGACCTCCGAAACGTGGATGGTGGACGGACGCTACGAATGGATGACGCAAACAGTTCTCAAACTTCTTGTGACAGAGAAGAATAGAAATGCCGTGAGAGGTTAGGTGAAGCTGTGATTGGGCCATTACGCACTATCTCCTGTCAATGCGTCGAAACGAAAACCAGAACGCCTCCGTGCCGTTCTGGCAATGGGATTAGATGCGTGGTACTCCCGAAAGCTTGTCAGAAGATTGGAGGAGTCTACAACCCGTTGATCTGGTTATACCTGCGGGAATTGTATCGGTCCTCAAGTAAATTATTTCGATGCCTTTATCAGTATTGTGTGTTTGGCTACGGACGGGCCTGAGCGAACTCTGCGAATTGCCAAATATTTGTTGGGTCTGGGTAGAACCGATTCGTTTAAATATTTATGCGAGTTTGAGTCGGCGCGAGTCACCTGCCCTGATAACCATAACATATGTATCGACCTGACGAGAAATATAAGTAAACTGATAAGTACTAGGTAGTTTTCGTTCCTGTAGAGCAAAAACTAAAATGTTACATCTATCGCGACCTCATTCAATGATGCCCTTTCCAGGCTTTTACGGCTGTTTTGGCAGCGCCCCGGGCGACATAGAATCTAGGCCCCATGCCATGCATGATGTCGCACCCTTAGATTCTAAGTCTCTTGGTAATCGCAGCGACCCGGAACGACACAAATTCTAGGTGGACGTCACGTAGAATCTTTGCCGGACCCCTAAAAACGAGATAAAAATGGCGTAACAGGCTCATTTGTAAGCAAACCCATTTGATCGCTTAGGGCCGACAACGGACGTAGAAATGTTGTCACACTTAACAACAGCATAATTTGTAGTTTCCATTGTTAAAAGGGGTGCCCACATTCGGAGCATATTTCAAAAGTGTACTCTAGTAAAACCTCAGAACCATTTATTCTAATGACGGCACTGAGTAGTGCCAGTGCAGCACCATCGAGATATAATGAGACTAATTAAAAAATTACGCTGTCGCTACTGTAACAGCACTACCCGTCTTCCCTGGAAGTTGTGGGGACAGCCGTGACAACCGCCGCGGTTATGACAACGGCAAAATCCGCTTAGGGCCGATGTCAGCTGTTACTGAATGAGGTCAGCACAACTGAACGTTTGTGATTGTCACATAGGGTTGCAAGGGCCAGTTTCTGAGAAGCGCATTGGTCAAAGTTTGAACCAATGCGTTGCTTAAGACTCTGTGGTGCTCCGTTTTCCAAAGCCAAATTGCTCTTCGAAAAGAGCCACTGTAGTGAACGCCGTAGGGGAGAAATAAAAGCCATAGCATTAATTGAATTCGCGGGATAATAGCTTCATATTCGCATATCCTTTTGTTTAAACAGAGTTTCAAGTTTTCGTAGCATGTAGTATCCAAACAAACTGACAAATTAGTGTGCTGCAAACATTACGGAACACACTCGTTGGAAAAAAGCGAGGCAAATGTATTACTTTCATGGTGGTGAGCAGGGAGTCCAATGACATTTCTCCCGCAGGAGCGACTTCTGTAAAGTGAAATTCTAGATTATTCAAGAAGATTTCGAGAACTTGTGTTACTGATCTAAACGTACTTGTCTGATATAACACTCAGTGAAAAGTACAAAAAGGTGGCATGCTGCCTTCAGTGGTATGCATGGCATGCAAACATGCGAACGAAAAATGCTAGTGCCTCGCATGCACGGTTATTGTCACGAAGGTTACGAAGATGTTGCAGAGCGTGTCAGCACCACGTGCACATCCGGCAAGCCACGGAGAAAAGAACGTTCTTGCTGCGCTGCGAATGCACCCTATGCCTTTACAATTGCTAAATTCCTGGGCGGTTGGCCATCGGAAATAACTTGATCAGAATCGATCCTAGCATCAAATCATGCCTCCTTGAGTCGGAATCGGAGTTGCCATATTGCTTCAATTTCAAACGGAGCGGAATCCAGCTCAGTCCAGCCCACTCACGACGGTCACGCCGTGACGCGCTCCCGTAGCCATACAGCCGACAGATCACCATGCGTTCATGTTGCACCGCAGCGGCACCGTAGACGGGATGGCATTCGCACCGTCTGTCACCGTGGCTTTAATGCTGCAGCTTCGGGATCAGCTGCAGCAGCTGATCGGCTGAAGAGTCCGTTGACTGAGCAGGCGATGCCGTGCCCCCACTGTGCGCTAGCGGCCGTGCCCACATTGTGAACTTATTATGAAGCATCACTCGAACGGATAATACTTAAAGGGAATGTTTCACGTTTGAAGATATTGAGGCAAGCATCCGATGCGATGAAACAAGCTGACTTATAACTATTGATGCGCATTTAGTGACTGCTGGTGTGCTTATAAAGACTGCTGTAGACAGCGCAATTCTCCGTCTAGAAAAAAACCAACCTCCATGCGTCATACTTTGATTACGCCATCATACCTTGCACGACATTGATTGAAAGCCAATAAACGGCCGTTTTATCTACAAATCGCGCTCATGAACGCCGGATATGAGCGGCTCGACAACTATTTTTCTTGGCCTTAATTGCCGCATGGATAATGGAATGACAGGATTCGGGTGACGTTATTACGACGTCGTGAATGCTAAGGTAACTTGGAAATAGTCTTCCCGATATACCTTTCCCCATTTTCCCAGGCGTGTAGCTCAGAACTTAGAGGGGGTTAGGTCCTTAGAAGGGCAAGATTGTGAACAGCACCGGAAGACCTTTAAAATGGCTATTTCAGTTCAAAACCCCATGTAGATGTGGAACACTCCCTTTCATTTTGTTAAATTTAACTGAGTTTTGTGAATGTCTTACTACGTTTGACGTATGGCCGCGTTAAGCTTTACATAGCTGTAGGCAATGGAATAGCGGATCTTCTGGCGTAAAAACTTAGATTTACTTTTGCTTTTCTGCTCGTGAGCTTGCTGTATGAGATAGATTTTGATACTCATTTCAAGTTCATTAATAATAGCGACCGCAACAGAATCTGTCATGGAGTTCGAAGAGGTCAAAGGAGGTCACCGACCTAAAATGGCCCAGGTCACCATTTTTCAGGAACATACCGCCGAGCGTAGTCCGTGACGCCTATTCAAATGCCAAAAAAATGGCAAAAGAATCTGAGAATTTCCTCCATGATCATGACCTTCTTAAGGTCAAACAAGCTCACTTAACTTAAATGAACTCCAGTGACCTTCGAACAGGTTCTAGATTCAAGGCGATTGCGTGAAAAGGTCTGGGGGCACGCACATTGGACGCCAATTTGAAGTTTGACCCCGTTTGAGATTATTTGGCCCGAAAGCCATGACCTAGGAACTTCAAATTTTAGTACATGTGATTTCACAAAAAGGCAAATCCACCTTGTAAATGTGATGATTCTAGCTGTTTTAGTTTTTGAGCTCGCAGTGAAGTTGATTGACCCCTACCCGATCGGGGAATATTGAACCGTCCACCCGGGCGCTTGTAAAACCTCGCGCCCCGGAAAAATCGGATGCAGCTTCTTCACCACCACAATATTGCATATAATTTCGCAATGTGGCGACCAGGACATGCCTTGCTGCTTTCCATCCCATTGCCCACCATGGGTGCGCCTGTCGCGCTCAACGGCAGCTATTTAGTGACAAGGTCAGCATATAGCCGAACTGATATCTACTATGTAGTCGCAGGTGAGGCAATTGTTTTCGGCGCCGAGGCAAACCAACGTTTAGCCCATTGGCGCGCTGGGTACTGCGCCCCTCAGCGTTTGTGTCCTTAACGGCCTACTCGCAACGCGTAGGTACAGTGGATGAAGCTAGGGCTCTATCGCACCCAGGCCCCCGCCCCCAGGCAGATCCTGACCGTGCGCCTGAGGTACGCACGTGGCGTTGCTGCTGCTGGTGGGATCCCCTGAGAGGAAACTGAGCCGGAACACGCACGACGCACCTGTTTTTTTTTCATGCAGTGCCGTATGGCTCATGGTGTATTTTTCCAGGTTTGGTGGACCCCGCTGGATTCTGCCATTCCTGAGTTGTTATTTGCACGCATTGCATCCAAGTCATCCAAGCCATTTGCACGCATTGCACTAGATGTGTTGTTACAGGCGGGAGGCCGGCACCCACGCTGCCTTTTCGCAGACGGGGGTCACGCCTTCTGACTTTGAAGGTCTCTGTGAGGAGTTCTCATAGGGAGCACTATAGGTATCAGCAGCGAAGACCTCAATAATCTTATTCCCTCAGCCTCCTGGTCTTACGTTCTGGCTTGCTCTTGAGAGCGGTATGAAATGATGCGCTACTTCAGCGTGGCCGCGTGCTCCGCTGGTGACCGAGTGGTGACCGAGGGCTTCCGCTCTGGTTGCTTGGTAGAAATCAGCCACATGCCTGCCTCTTGCGTGCGGGCCTGGTGGGATGCCATTCTTGAGATGTTTCGTCGCAGTTGCACGGCGGGCTTGCAGGCGGGCACGCAGCGCCATTTTTGTGCTGGATGGCAGCGCATGACCGCCTGCTCATGAGCCATGCCTGCTCGTTGCAAGCCTGAGCGAGTCGGTCCGCTCTCTGGGTGTGAGCCCAATCACGCAGACGGGCAGCAATTTGCAACTTTCGTCGTCGCGCATGGACGGCGTTAGGCCGCGGCCGCATCACGGGCTCGGATTCGCTGCAGCGGTACGAGCTGGCGCGCTGAGCGAACTGCGCCTGTCAGCTGGGTCTGCGCTGAGCGCCGTTGCACGCCCGGCGCGCTAGTTGGGCAGTGGCGGTCGGGGGCGGAACGCAGGTGAGGCGCCGGCGCCTGTGTCTGCGAGACGGTGTGGAGGGCGGGCCGCACCGACCTGACCTGACCTGACGCGGCCGGGGCGCTCGCCGCGCTCACTGCTGACTGTCGAAGGCAGCGGGGTCGCAGTCTGGGTATGGACGGAGTGGACGGTTCCCCGCGCCGACGAGGCGGGCCCACCATCGACAAGATCAAGATGCTGGTGTTGCAGTGAGTACCTACTTAATACGGAAGAGGTTGAATCAGCCGTTTCAAATATGACGTTTAAAGCAGACATGAGCATGGAAGCAAGACAGTACTTAAAGCTTTCGTCCACGTAGAATGACCAGGAGAATGAAGATATAGATATACTGATGTTTCGGCTACATACTTTTATCGAGACGAATATCAGTAATAAATTAAGCACTTTTTGGCGTCAGACGTTTGAATTTTGAACATACAATTAACATCCGGTTCGGTAAAGGCATGCATCCGAAATATCAGTGCACCTGTCTCTCCATCCTCCTGGTTGTTCTACGAGAATTAAAGCTATTACTATTGTCTGACCCATGTGCATTATGTTCCTTGAGAATGCACAATCAGCCTATAGGCACCTAACATGTGCAAACATAAAAGTTTCAAGCTGGAGGCGCTTGTCTCCCACCTATCGCTGCTCCATATCAAGAAATTATTACTGTTTATTTCCGGCATCCTTGCGCCAGCTTGTCAACGTTTTTCCGTGTGATGCTGCTTGACATCGCTTAATTGAAGGGACTGGACACTCATAATCCAAGACGCAGCGCCGGTTTCATCATGGTGGGGAGTGTTTCACATGTCGCGGGGTTGGAATTGAGATGACCACCTAAAAGTTTTTTCAGCGCACTTCATATCTCTGTCCTTTTTAAGGTTTAAAATATTATTGTTTGTGAGCTCGACACCTGTGAACTAGCGCGGGGATATTTCGTGCAGGCTTTTTCAAGCGCACACGGGCATGCATGACGTCATATAAGTATTACTCGTGTACTACTGTCTCATTAGCCATCTCGTACTCAACGTCACGACAAAATATGAACATCAAGTTCGTGTCTGGCGTATGTCAGCACAATGCTGGCATCAACAGCCAATAGTTGGCCCTCATACCAGTCCAATGTGTTAGTACATTCTGTGAACATTAGTTGCATTTTGTACTATATAATACAGGGAGTTGGGCAGTGGTGCGAATTATTACGTAAATAGGACTGGTAATCGGATAACTTGAAGGGAATGCTCGGCCTTTTAAGATATTGAAAATGCGTCAGATATGCTTTTAGGTGGAACTGACAGCTCAAGCCAGCACAATTTCGCTGTTAGGAGACATGCTCCTCAATGCGTCATTCTTTGTTTATGTCAGTTGTAGCTTGCACAACATTGCTTGAGAGCTAATTGGCGGCCGTCATATGTCGAATTCGTGCCCACGAACGCCAGTTAGGAACGACTCGACAATAGTATTTTCCTTGTTCTTGATCGCCCCATGACCAATGAAATGGTAGAATCTGAATGACGTAATGATGTCGTCGTGGACGCTCAAGAGACATTGAGCTAGTCCTCCCGAAATATTCTGCACGTGTTTGCGGGCGTGTAGCTCAGAAACTGGAAGGGTTAAGGTCATAAGAAGGGCAGGATTGTGAGCTGCACGGAAATGCTCTTCAAGATGGCCATTTCAGTTCAAAACCCAACACAAATGCAGGGCACTTCCTTTGAAGGGAGTGTTCAGTATTTTTGTGGGGGGGGGGGATGACACCATGGCAAAGGCCTTCAAATCCCGCTACCCCACAGGTCAGGCAGCGTTCAGCCAGGAAGAATATCGTCGTCCATCCGTTCAGATTTGACGTCCGATTTGCAAACAAAATGAACGCCAGTTGGTTCTCAAATAATATTCAGCAAGCTGTACAACCTGTGATCACGAAGCGCGTTCTGCAGTGCATAATATGAGAAGTTGGATATGACTTCTTCACTTCCTGTCTATTACGGAAATAAGACTGGTAGTCGAGTCACTGAAGAGTAGCGCCTTAACCGGAATGCAAGTAAACATCCCAAACTCACAGACGAACCTGCAAGAACACCATACGAAAGAGAGAAAGAACGAGCATATCATGATATCTGACTCGGAGAACACTTTCAGACAGTGTTGCCATCTCTCAATGATTTTGAAGCGCTGCAAGTAACTGGCAGTTTGACACTGCTATTTAAGCAGCACCTTAATGTCGTACGTACATTACATGACGCAATCTAATAATGACGTAATGAGGAACATTCATATTCGGAGATGCTGAAGCAGTCGTCAGGTGTGTTGAAATAAGCTCACTTATCATTATTGGTATACCTCAAGTGGAAAAGGCTGCTTTAGACAACACAATTTCTTGATTAGATAAGTATGTTCCTCAATACGTCATTGCTTCATTGTGTCATCACACTTAACACAGCATTGATTGACAGCAAATGACGGCCGTTACATATCGAAAACATGCTCACGAAGGCAGAGCTAATCGACAATTATATCTTATTGGTCTTGATCACCGCGTGATCAATGCAATGGCAGGATTTGAATGACGCTATTATGGCGTCATGAATGCCAGGGTGATTTTGCAATCGTTTTCATGAAGTAGTCTGCACATCTTTGCAGGGCGTGTAGCTCAGATACGTAAGAGGCTTAGGTCTTAAGAAAAGCAGGGCTGTTAACTGCACCGAATGGACTTTAAGATGACCCTTTCAGTTCACATCCCATACAAACATAGAACACATCCTGTAACACTGGAAAGCAAATCAGTATATAGAAGTGAGCTTGTTTCATCGCATGCGATGCTTGCCGCAGCATCTTTAAGTGTGGAATGTTCCCTTTGAAAGGGGAGCATGCCACCGTTTTGTACTTTCGAGTTCTTGTTTCATCAGAAGCGTTTGATCATGCATTCTATCTGACTTCTTTCTCCGACGTATGTGAAACGCTTATGTTTGCAGCTCACTGAATTGTCAAAATGCTTGTGTACTTAGTGCTACAAAAGCTTCAGCACTCTGGCAGGAGAGAAATATGTGCAAATATGAGGCTCCTATCCCGCGAATTCAAGAATACGTTATACTTTGCACTTTATTTCTCACTTGGCGTGATGAAGACGGCGACAACTGGGTGAGGCTTAGGCTACACCAGTTCCCGTTCTTAAGTTTTGTCACTCTGGGCCGCGTCGCTCGTTTGCAAAGTGCTACATGAGTTGCTAGCTATGACGCCGCGAGTACCTACGTCATACACAAGCGACTTTCTTCCCCGGCACGGGGTGGAGAGACATTAAGATTCTCAACATACGCCCATAGCGTGTGATGGGAAGAAAGTATGAAGAGTAATTGAAGTCTCCCCCCAACCTATGACCCGTGAAGAAGTCTGTCTCTGTATCGTGAACGTTCAATACCAAATTGCACTAGTAACTGCCTGCGTTCCAGTACGCCTTCCCCACCACACAAGGCTGCAGCTGATGCTTCGTTTCACTGGGCTTTCATTCTAGGAGTAGCGGAAATACCTTCGTAAACAGATCCGTTGAATAAGACTTGCTGAGACCATTCGGCGGGACCGAAAAAGTAAATGGTGCATTCGATTGCTCGTAGTTTCACGAGCTTTTCATCGATTTTCATTACTCGAAGGCACTTGCCGCCACGCGTGAATGCTTTCCAGATCACTCAGCCTTTCGGCTTTCAACTAGTAAGTAGTCTTATTCCAGTTCGTCCCCAGGCCCATACCACAAAGCATTATATACGGAACGCATTATTCGACAGCAGACGGTGAACCTACGCCCACAGTCATTGTCCCCATTATCGCGCAATAGAGCGGGTTGCGGCGAACCCGCATCCTTGAACGGGCCTCGCCATGCAGACGCCACCATCCAGCACCACGGCAACGGCCTCACTGACGCTGTAGCGTCACCGGACTCCGGAGCCAGCGACGGCATCTGAAGGCGGAGGGTGCAATCCGTCATCTGGCTGCGACGCCGATACCCCAGCCAGTGTAAATAAACACCGCCCGAGCCGGGCAGCCGAGCGGCCGCGACACTCAAAACGGGCCGTGGCCGCGCGCGGCGCCGACAAAATGACACCCGGCGCTGGTGCGGGGGGCGGGCGGCTCGTGTTTTGGCGCGCGGAACAGGTGAGGGTGGCTGGAAATGGCGCCGGGGTCGGGTGTCGGCGGCGTCGTATGACGGAGAGCGCTGGCGACGTTAGGTGTCGGCCTGATGTTGCAATGGTGTCGGACGTTTCTGCGTTGGGAGGTCGTGCGGTAGCACAGGCGAATCAGTGAAACCAGAATGTTTGGGTCTGGGCGACCAGCTATTTACGTGTGACGTGGTGCGTCAGTGATTTTGACACGCGCCCAGGTGGGGCAATTGACACTCAAAAGTGCTTTTCAAAATGACTTGCGAACGAAGCTGCGCAGCCGCGTCACAAACTTTCGAGTAGCCATAGGGAGTTGGATAGTCGGTCCTTTTGTTTAAACAATCTGTGCAAACCTTTTAAGGTCGCCGGCCCATAGCAGGTCAAGGTCAGGCCATGGCTGTCAGCAAGGGCTTTCCTAGTTAATCGTTTTATCTAATGCGACAAGCGTTGACGAAGCCAGGTTTCTAGAACAATTATGCACTTTCCTTTAAGATAACGACGAATGTCATTGACCTTGGGTCAGGCATGGAAATCAGAACGAGTTCAGGTGTAAATCCATTTCATAGGAGAACTCGCTTCATGATGTTGCTCTTGACGCCAGCGCGGAGTCCCTTGCCTACAGGGGGGTTAACAGACGTGCTATTTGGACATCATTTAGGTGGAAGGAGGTCAATGACTTAAAATGACCCCGATCAACCTGTTGCTTTTTGGAATATGTCGTCTTACTAGACCTTTGGGCTTATGTAAATTCAAATATGAAGCCAATCTCTGAGGTTTTTGGCCACCTTTGCTTTCCGAGGGTCAAATAAGCTTTCTGACCTGCACTGAACACCAGTGGCCTTCTGTTAGAAAGGTTAAATGTGGCTGCGTGAGAAGGTCTAAGGGATCTCAGAACACTTATCTGGAGTTTGACCTTGCTTGACTCGATCAGACCGGGGGTGATAAGGTCAAGCGTGATTTGTCTTTCGGGGGAAGGGGGGGGGGTACGTTAATTTGTCAATAGGGCAGGGGGGACACGACTCAATCCACATGTTTTTCTTGTGTGGTAGAAAAGAAGGGCACACGTTCTCAATGTTCTAATTTCTACGTGTCTAGGTTTAATTCTGTCAAAATCTGTTCCCGTGATGGGTATCATAGGGATGACAAGAGTGGAAGCGGGGGTGCGTGATTCCGGGTCTACCGTGTGCGCCCCCCCCCCCCCCCCCCCCGGGAACCGCAGGAGTATCGTGAAGACGCGGAAGTCTACTGTCGCCAATGGTCTAGCGAAAGACAGTCATGCGCCGTGAATTATGTCAACCAAATCAATTCCGCACAGCTCCCGTCTGTACGAACCTACAGATGGTGGGGCTGGAGGTATTTTGGTGAAAACACATCCTAAATTTAGTTCAAGTCCTGGAAGATTTCAAACAAAATTAGTTGTGTGCGACTTGGCCGCTATTCAGCCACGTTGTGCTCCTCGGTAGCCCCGTCGCTACTTCATCTCCCATAAACATCTGCCGTCCGGCCGCATTCTTCCGAGTAATGCTTTCCATGTTCAAGCGACGAATGTTTACTGTTAACAACACAAACCGGCGCCAGTGCCCATTGCACTGATGCGGTCTCCGTGGTATGCGGACTGCATCCACAAACACCCTTTCAGGCCGTCTGTGCTCGCTTAGGGCTGCTCGCCTCGCGCTGTGCAGCAACAGCATTGGCTACCGGGACAGGTGCGGCAGCGCTTCCAACCGCGCCACATGCACGGATGCTAGCTTCCCATTCCAAATGTTATATGCTATGCATGCCATGTTTACCAAATTTGTGTGTTAAATTAATGCTTACGAATAATTGGTTGCGTAACAACGTGACCATGGTTGCCAGATAATATGAAAAATATGCGTACCACCATTCCCTACAGGCCAGCTTAGGGTACCCTTTGCGCCATCCCAATTGCAAAACAATCGCAAAGGAGACTCAATGAGTGATGTGCGCGATACGTGGTCATGAGGTGGTTACTCGTGGCACGAGGCATGCGCGCGAACGGGCGTTAGCACCCATCAGCTGATGACATGGGTCGATCACTGCACTGGCCATGTTATGGCACGCCTAGTGTTATTTTTCGCGGTTTCAGGACGTAAGTACGCACGGCCCCCGTAAGAACCGGGGGCCGTGTGTGCACTCCTGTCTCCGAGAATGAAGAATTTTAAGCCAGTGACGATACATGGATGGAATTTCCTTCGGTATGATAGATGATCCTTCTAAGGGGAATGCTCCAGGACAAATCGATCACCGGACTGGTTTCCAGGGACGAGCTGGGGTATGAATTTGAGTGTGTAGTGGTCATGTATAAATGGTTATAAATAATGAGTGAAGTTATTTCTATCCAGTGTTCGTTTTAAAATCATGCTCTCTGGCAATGTGGGGTGGGGTTCAAACAGGGTCATCATCAAAGATGGTGCATCAAAGCGGGCCTAGCTGTGCATCATTCCCTCTGGAACTCGATCTTCTTTATGTAAGCAGCCTTGCACCGCGCGTCACAGGCGCCTCTGCCTGCCGTATTCCACAAACGAGCTGACTCGTCGCGTCTGTCAGCCGGCGTCAGTGGTGCTCTCAAGGGCGTGAAGCGAAGTCGTCGACAGAGACGTCGTCAGGGTAAGGGATAACGGGGAAGCACAGCTAACTCGGTGGGTGATCTGCAGTGAGCATGTCTTTTTACTTCTAGCCCCCTCCATCTCAGGGTCATGTTGCACTGCCAGACCGAGCTGACTTAATTTGTTGGCCGTCTCAGACAGTTGAAAGCTCATTTCACAAGGGTCACAATACCTGACCTGACCTTTGCAATTAGCGCCGTCCACCACCACACCGCACCCCACCCCTCTTCTCTCCAGTTAACTGGATATGGTGCGCCCCCGCAGTGACCATTCGTCTTACGCCAAGAATCAAGCTTTGCATTCCAATGTCCAGTATACATCCGCATACCAACTTTTGCGAACGTTCTACCGTCAGACGAATCACAGCCCGACGGACGTTTTCGCATGAACTTCATGTGCTTTCATCATGTATCGATGTACAAATCTCTGCTCGCGTACTTTTGTCAAATGAAAGTCGGTCTGACTTACATTCGTGCCTGAAAGTTCGGCTCAAAGAATTGCTTACGACCTTTTTCCACTACGAACTTTCACGTACAAACATTTCCGTTGCGATCTTTTTCGCGACAACGATTTTACCATATGCTCTCAATTCATGCATCCTGTTGACATTGCGGGCTTTCACCCTTGCGAACTTTATACTTACGTAGTTTATTCTGACTAGGCAGTAGGTATACATAATTTTTCCTACTATCAACTGCCATGCATACTTTTCCATGCATACTTTTCTCCGTAACCAATTGTTCGCGTCAGGTGCAGACTGGAGCCGTGGGAGCCGAACGTTGCGATTTCGGTGTGAGCCGAACGTTGCGACACATTCCAGTGGGAGCCGAACGTTGCGACACGTTCCAGTGGGAGCCGAGCGTCGCGACCCATTCCAGTGGGAGCCGAGCGTTGCGATGCATTCCAGATGTGATAATTGGACTCGGTGTGGCAGCTCCGAGTCAGTTTCTGCCCTCATGAAACCATGAATTTCTGCCCTCATCATTATGAACTGGGCCTGACGCCCGCCTGCACCCAGAACACTGACGGCCATCGGTCCTCAGCCTTCCAGCCTAAGCCGACCACCCGTGCCGCAGGACCTACCACAAGGACTCGTACATGGCACACCGTCGCGACTGGCGGTTGGGTCACGAGGGCCGGTACCGACGCACCTCGTCGCCGCCGCCGCCGCCAGCGGGACGGCCGTCGGCGCCGTCGGCTGTCGGCCGCAGCGCCTCGTGCGCCGTCCCGGGCCGGGAGCAGGGCGCACCGTCGCGCTTCCGCCAGCCAGCCAGCGTCGGCCGACTGCATCCGACTGGTGAGTGAGGTGACCTGGCAGGAGTCAGCGCAGGGGGAACTGCAGCGGGACGGTGAGGGAGATAGGAGGGGGTGAAAGAGGATGGGTAAAGGAGATGGCGTGAGGAGAAGGGATCGGGAGGGGGTCATGAGAAGGAGGGGAGGGAGTGGGGTGCATTTGAATTGTGCCTTTCCCCCTCCGTCTTTTCGCTGTTCCCTTTCTCTCTCTCTCTCTCTCTCTCTCTCTCTCTCTCTCTCTCTCTCCTCTCTCTCTCTCTCTCTCTCCTCTCTCTCTCTCTCTCTCTCTCTCTCTCTCTCTCTCTCTCTCTCTCTCTCTCTCTCTCTCTCTCTCTCTCTCTCTCTCTCTATCTCTCTGTCTCTGTCTCTGTCTCTGTCTCTGTCTCTGTCTCTGTCTCGTCTCTGTCTCTGTCTCTGTCTCTGTCTCTGTCTCTGTCTCTGTCTCTGTCTCTCTGTCTCTGTCTCTGTCTCTGTCTCTGTCTCTGTCTCTGTCTCTGTCTCTGTCTCTCTGTCTCTGTCTCTGTCTCTGTCTCTGTCTCTGTCTCTGTCTCTGTCTCTGTCTCTGTCTCTGTCCTCTGTCCTCTGTCTCTGTCTCTGTCTCTGTCTCTGTCATCTGTCTCTGTCCTCTGTCCTCTGTCTCTGTCTCTGTCCCTCTGTCTCGTGTCTCTGTCTTCTGTTCTCTGTCTCTGTCTCTGTCTCTGTCTCTGTCTCTGTCTCTGTCCTCGGTCTCTGTCTGTCTCTGTCTCCTGTCTCTGTCTCGTCTCTGTCTCTGTCTCGTCTCTGCTTCTCGTCCTCTGCTCTCTCTTCGTCTCCTGTCCTTCCTTTCCGTCCTCCTGTCTCTGTCTCTTGCCCTCTCTCCCTTGTGGCCGGTACTTGCAGATCATACTCGTATCAAGAAGGCAGGAATTGAACTAAGTAACTGCATGGCGCCTTGCACGGTGAACTGTACCACAGCGATGCTCGTGGCAAATTCCTGCTGGCTTATGTCAGGGGTCCTTACTATTAACCCGCGTTAGCGTGTTTGTGCACGAGTCTGCCGGCGAATGGAATGTATGCGGCGTTTTCGCCCCTGGTTGTATGCTGCTTCCTGTTTTAAGCCCCGTTACATCCAACCCTCATTCACACCCGATCTGTTGCGTTGAATGAAAAGGTCGAGGTTGCCTGATCCCACCGCCCCGCTCACGGCCGGCACAACTGCCTTTCATCTTACACCTCTGACTCTGCAAGAACAACGCCTCCCTGTGCAACACTGCAGTCATCTGACGCAACGGGCCTGGTGCCTCAGCAGAAGTCGGGTGCTTGTGCTGGCTGTGATCCTCTCGTGCTATGGGCTGGTCATGAACCGACCACTCACAACCCACCGATGTGTGCGTGCGTGCGTGCGTGCGTGCGTGCTGTACATTCTACAAAGCAATGTCGCCGTGTCCTGATCGTCGCGTGACGTGCGACGCAGGACGTGCGACGCAGGACGTCTGACGCAGGTCTTTCCATTTCCGGTACCTCACCTCTAGTTTGATAATTAATGTGCTGTGGAAAGAGGTGGTGAACTCGCCACGATTTGATGAGCTGACTGTTGGGTTAAAGGCACGCTGAACACGTGGAGCTTTATCGAGCAACGAATAGGACGTTAACGTCATGTGTATTACTTGCAGCAGATTGTTTTGTACCGCTGCGCACCAGTGCTGCTTGTGCTATGTCGCTGACATTGCATTCTGTGCATCGCTTGCCCTGTAAAGCTTATTAGGCAAGCATCAACTAGTGTTGTTTACAATGACATATGAGGTCATGACAGTTAAACACAAACAATGTCGGGGGGAAGGGGGGGGGGGAGAGTCGCGAGATGCCAACGATGCCGATGTCGTGTCGCACAGGTTGCTCGCCGGGCTTCGTCCGATCGCTGTCTTCCGCGGAGCGGCATCAGACGGCCAGCGGTGGGACCGTCGAGGCGCGGCCTGAGCTGCTGACGGTCGGCGGGCTGCGGCGAAACGGAACCGTCCCCGCCCCCGCCCCGGAGGTCAGCCGAGCGGAGGTCAACCGAGCGGAGCCGTGCGGACGGCGGGCCGCCCAGCCGTCTGACCGCCGGTGTCGCCGCCCTGGGCGACCGCAGCCGCTCGCCGGCCAGCCGCGAGGAGCCTGCGGGGGAGTCCGAGAGTGAGCGTCTCCCGGTCCGCGCCGCGCCCGCAGCGGCGCCGACATCCGTTGACGCGGTCGACGCGGCGCGCGCACCGGGGCCGGGCGGCGGGGGCGCGGCGCCGCCGCCGCAGCCGCCGCCGCGGGCCAGCCGGCGGGAGCGGACCGGCCGGGCCGATCCGCCGCCGGCTGTGAACGGGCCCTCCGCCGGGGCAGAGCCTCCTCAGCGGATCGTCGGAGACTACCAGCAGCGTCGAGCCCCGCTGGCGGCCGGCGAGACGGGGCCGGGCGCGGGCGGCGAGTTGGACGGGTGGCGCGTGAACGGCACTCACAGGGAGGAGACGGGCCGGGCCGGCGCTGACAGGCGGCTGGCCAGGCCCACCGCGCGGGACCTGCTCGACCCGCGCCGACTGCCCGAGGCGATCACGTGTCCGGACGCGATGCCAAGCCGGTCTGGTGAGTGGCGCCTTCGGATCCGGCTGATGGCTGGCTGCCTGTGAGGTTGGGTGGTGTTTTGATGCGGGCTCGCTTCGTATAAGGAAGAGGAGCACGCGGTGTGTGGTGGCTGTTAATGATGGGTAGATAATATCTGGTTCGGTGATGTTCAAAGAGGGACCTATCGACTGTTTGTGATTAAATGACGGTATTTGTGGGTTGTGATTCTTATGGCGACAATGTGTGCCCGTGTGGCCATGACAAAGCAACCACCTCTCTGCAGATTCGCGACAGTCTGTTCCATGGGGGTTTTAGGGGGGCGCAGCTGCATCCACATCACTACAGCAAATTGGCGCTAGGTCTGCGGTGCTGTTTGAGAAGAATGGGTTCACAAAACTTATTCAGCCCCCCATTGTGTTTAGGTAACGTTCCACTTATGACTTTCTGCACACGTGTGATAGCCCAGGGATTGAGTGATGGGATTCAAACACTTTGTGAACCGAGGTTAGGACATGTTTTACTTTTTTCTTCTGGTAATGCTTGAAGACAGTGCACAGTAAACTGCCACACCACGGGACGTACATCGGCTGAGATCTTGACTGTGGTAGACCACTAAGAAGTGCCGCAATTATAACTGACCGAAATCGAACGATCTTAATAGGCTCCCATTCTTTCGAGGTGGCTTCTCAGATCCGTCTTGCTGGGAGAACTGAGCGGCTGCCCGTGCACGTGGGCGGGCTGAGAGCCGCTCGAGATAGAGTAAGGTGGGAGCCGTCTCCACTTGACCGGTGATTCACGGCCTTTCCCGGACACGTTCTGGTGGGCTGGTGGGAGCTGGCGGAGAGCTGGCCTCGATCGGGCGAGCAGAGGGCGGCGGCGCGCGCTGGCCAGACAACGGATGGCAGCCCGGCCGACCCTTAGCTGCAGGGTTGGCAGGGGGAGGGCGAGCTGTGGGCCATCCCCGTCCGACCCTCAGCTGCAGGGTTGGCAGGGGGAGGGCGAGCTGCGGGCCATCCCTGTCCGACCCTTAGCTGCAGGGCTGGCAGGGAAGGGTGAGCTGTGGGCCATCCCCGTCCGCCCCTCAGTTGCAGGGTTGGCAGGGGGAGGGCGAGCTGTGGGCCATCCCTGTCCGACCCTCAGCTGCACGGTTGGGAGGGGATTGCCAGCTGTGAGCCATCCCTGTCCGACCCTCAGCTGCAGGGTTGGCAGGGGGAGGGCGAGCTGTGAGCCATCCCTGTCCGACCCAAGGTCGGGGCTCGGTCGAGTTTTGTCGCTGTCCTGCCCCACTGCGACCGTCCTTCCCTGCACTCCCTGACACCCGGACCCAGAACCACCCGGTGTTGAGCACGGTCCGGTGAAACCCGGCGACGCGGTCGATTAGCTCCCGTCGCCCGCGGCTGTGATCTGGCATCACGGTCATTGTCAGCCGGGCGACGCGGTCGATTAGCTTCTGTCGCCCGCGACTGTGATCTGGCATCACGGTCATTGTCAGCCGGGCGACGCGGTCGATTAGCTTCTGTCGCCCGCGGCTGTGATCTGGCATCATGGTCATTGTCAGCCGGGCGACGTAGTGGATTAGCTTCTGTCGCCCGCGGCTGTGATCTGGCATCACGGTCATTGTCAGCCGGGCGAGACGGTCGATTAGCTCCCGTCGCCCGCGGCTGTGATCTGGCATCACGATCATTGTCAGCCGGGGGACGTGGTCAATTAGCTTCTGTCACCCGCGGCTGTGATCTGGCATCACGGTCGTTGTCAGCCGGGCGACGCGGTCGATTAGCTTCTGTCGCCCGCGGCTGTGATCTGGCATCACGGTCATTGTCAGCCGGGCGACGCGGCCGATTAGCTTCTGTCGCCCGCGGCTATGATCTGGCATCACGGTCATTGCCAGCCGGGCGAGGCGGTCGATTAGCCCCCGTCGCCCGCGGCTGTGATCTGGCATCACGGTCATTGTCAGCCGGGCGACGTGGTCGATTAGCTTCTGTCACCCGCGGCTGTGATCTGGCATCACGGTCATTGTCAGCCGGGCGACGCGGTCGATTAGCTTCTGTCTCCCGCGGCTGTGATCTGGCATCACGGTCATTGTCAGCCGGGCGAGACGGTCGATAAGCTGCCATCTCCCGCGGCTGTGATCTGGCATCACGGTCATTGTCAGCTGGGCGAGACGGTCGATAAACTGCCACCGCCCGCGGCTGTGATCTGGCATCGTGGTCATTGTCAGCCGGGCGAGACGGTCGATAAGCTGCCATCGCCTGCGGCTGTGATCTGGCATCACGGTCATTGTCAGCCGGGCGAGACGGTTGATAAACTGCCACCGTCCGCGGCTGTGATTTGGTGTCACGGTCATTGTCAGCCGGGCGAGACAGATGTACATACGTCTCCTTGCTTGTCGCATGGCGCGCTGCTCTTCCAAACTAAGCGCAGTGAATGCCGCGCGCTGCCTTCGTAGAGTGAGGAGAGTGGAGGAGCCAAAAACTTCCTAGAAGAAAAAAAAACGGGATAAAAAACCAAAGGAGCGATGGAGCAGTGATGCTGACTGGTCTGGCATCTGGTAGACCCTCTGGAACTGGGCTGGCCGTCACGGAATTACTCATCTTAATGTGGACGCCTGTGGTACACCGTGGGCTTGCTTCGTGCGGCCTTGGTTGTCATCAGGGCAAGGGCACTGTCACCAGTACCTGTTTTGGGTGGGGACAGCTGTGACTGTACAACAACATAGCTTGGAAGATTGTGGGAAATGCTTGCATGATTTTCAGAATAATTCATTCGGAAATGGATGCAATTATCTGTCCGTGAAGCTCGCGATTTATGTTAGGAATTACTGTGGGGTACACCATATTGCAATGAAAATACCCTCTGGGTCATTCTGACTGTGATCGTTAATTGCCTTCGTTCTTCAATAACTCACCGATGTACACGTTTGACCTATATGGGCTCTTCAGACATGAAAGACGATCTTGGCAAGAGGGACACTAGAACACAAGATGTTATCAGAGAGTGAAGATGACTTCACTCCGCCAGTTAAAACGTTATCGTATGAAAACCCATATACAAATCAGCCGGGTCCGAAAATCCGGACTTTGTACCGTGGAAAGACCTGAACTAAAGGATTTCCCTACGCTGCTACGCGGCTGTTATACATAGTCCCGATCGGACTTGAACGGAAAGAAACGTCAGCACGTTAGAGTGACAACTCAGAAACAGCGCAATGGTGTGATCAGAAAGCCACATGGAAGCCCAGCCGGAGTCTGGAGTGGTTTGCGAACGTAGTTTTGCCGTGCCTGTCTGAGACTGCTCTCTTCAGCTCACGAAGTGGTAAAGTTGGCGTTGGTAGGTTTTCTTCAAATGTCCCCTCTCCCGAGATTACTTTAAGGCACTTAGATATGGGAACAGTTGGAGATCGCCCGCACAAAAGCACTGGGGAACGGTTTCTCGGTTGCAACGTTTTTTGGTCCCAATATCAGGCTCATTCTGCTGTATGAGGAAGTGCCCGATCCCCATCAAGCTCCTACCCGTTGTCCTGGGGATTTACTCGAAAAGAAATAGAGTCTCATCTTGTTGGGACAACCCGGGAAGTATTATGCCTGTAATTAACACCCCGCCGTTCCAGCAGACGTTGGAGACGAACGCACCGCGATGCTGCTGCACCTGAGGCAGCTGGACCTGGCGCTGGCCCGGCCCACCCCACCGGGTCTCATTCGGTCGGAGTCAGCGCCGTCGTCGGCAGCGGCACACTCGGTGACGGACGACACGCCGTGAGTACAGAGACCGGCGGGGGTGTCATATCGGCCGGCCAGTGCGACAGTGCCGTCATCTGAACTGTTGCACACCGCACAGTCACATGTGCAAGTATACGTGCGGCTGCATCAAGCAAAGCGCCATAGGTGGGAACTCGTCCCTCTCTGGCCCACTGTTCTGATTAGTTTTGGCCGACTGTTGTCTCCGTTGCTGTCCCCGTTGTCTGGCCCATCCCGTCGTTGCTAACCGTCGCTGCTATTCCGTTGCTAAAATGAGGCTGCCGCCCATGGAGGCCGTAACGTCGCCTGTGGCGCCTGCAGGTCACCGGTGCGGTCACCGGTCGGTTCTGCTCCCCTGACCCCGTTAAGCCCCGAGGCGCTACTCCTGACGCAGTTCTGGCAGGAGCTCAGCCCCGATCAGGGCCTGAACGGCCTTCCTGACGTGCAGGACATCAGACGCAGGAAGGTGCGTGGTGACGGCCCTCGCGCGGCACGTGCTCGATTCAGAGGCTCCTGATTGATGATGATGAGGATGGTGATGAAGCCGCACCCGGTGGTTGTGACGTCACGTGTTGGCACGTCGTTCACATTAGAGCAGTTCATACCGTGCATTTGTGTATTGGCGCGTGTGGCCGACGGGGTCATTATGATGTCTGCACCATGGTGTAAATGGTGCCAATACAAGCCACCTGGGACGGAAATGAAACGGCTTCAGAGCGGTGTTACGTTACCCCCGTGCAGCGATAACTGGTTGGTGCGCAGGTCACGTTGGTCCCACAGCTCTTATACAGTCTAATCCCAGCACAGCAGCCGTCCACAGGACCTCAAGTTACCGTTGGATATGCGCGATCCTCACCGACCTGGCGCGGCGCTGAAGTATCGCAGAGCGCTGACTGCCACCTGGCGGCTCGTCTCACGGCGTATCCGCCCGTCTCCCCGCAGAGCGAGCTGTTGTCTCGCATATCGAGCCGGCTCGCCGGCCTGCGGGAGGCGCAGCGCGCCGTCGAGGACGAGACCGCGACGAACGCGGCGCTGGGTGCGGCCGTCGCGGCGCGTGTCGAGCAGCTGGCGCGGCCGTCGGAGGCGGCTCGCTTCCGCACGTGCGTCGAACAGATCGGCACCATCACCAGACTGCTGCTGGGGCTGGGCGGACGGCTGGCGCGCGCGCAGGCCACGCTCGCAGCGCTGCCTGAAAGCTGCGTCGAGGAGAAGGTGAATGGCGGTCTCGACGGATGCTGATCACTGCGTGGGGGAGACGCCGTTAAGAGGGTCCGGATTGCCGGATAGTGGAACTATTGTGGCGCTGTTTGAACTAATTGATTCTGTGTTCACATTTCGCCCAAACAAGCGGGTTTGTGAGTTCTTCCAACTGACAACTCTATTGGAGCTAGCGGTCAGACTATCCTGATCAACTTCGAGCTGTGTTCTTCACCTGTGCTCTGCAGCTGTATTCTTCACCTGTGCTCTGCGGCTGTGAAACCACGCAACCCTCCCGTCAGGCCCACCTGACCAACAAGCGAGACAAACTGCGCAGCCAGCTGGGGGAGGCGCGCGTGCTGGAGGAGGAAGTTAGCCATCGGCGCCGCCAGGTGGACACCTGTCTGGAGCGGTATCTCAGCGCGGACGAGCTTGCCGAGTATCAGCACTTCGTGCAGATGAAGGCTAAGCTGATTGTGGACGCGCGCGAAATCGAGGACAAAATACGGGTCGGCGAAGAGCAGTTGGCGGCGTTAACGCGAGCGGCGGGCGCCGTGTGACCATGCTTGGTGCCATCTAACGGGCGATGTTATTACTGCTGGTGTGTGGGGTCCCCGAGTGTGCGCTATGCGTGTGACGCGCCCCACTCAATTGTGACGGCCTTCTCCTCGGGATAAAAGCGGGTGTGTTAACGGAGCAAGGCCTAGTCAAACGATGATGAAATTAAGTGGGAGATTGAGGCGCTGAGTAACGTGTGAACGTTTTTTTACGCTGATGTTGGTAACCTGTGAAGGTTTTTCAGGCAGATGTTAAGTAACGTATGAACGTTTTTCACGCAGATGTTAGGTGATGTTTGAATATGTTTTCACGCAGATGTTAAGTAACGTGTTAATTTTTTGACGTAGATGGTCGTGTTTGGTTTTTAAAGGCTTGGTCACCTGCATTGCTACAAGATGCACTGCACTGCCATTCGTGCCTAAACAATACTAGTTTCGGCATCTTCAGCTTTGCAGATGCCGAAGGTGCCCCCTTGCCGACATGATCATTGTTACCCAGTGCAAGCATGCATTCAGAATGCCGACTCCGCACGGTTAAAATATGACGGGTACTGAGTGATTTTTCATGCCTTGAAATAAACCGACTTAACATCCAACACCTATGTTGTGATACTTTTCTTGATTACAGGTTCCGGTGATGTGTATGTATCTGTGCGTGGTTCTTGATCCACTTGAACGAGCTTGCAGTTATCCCTCCCTATACATTCGATGCAATATATATATATATATATATATATATATATATATATATATATATAATATATATATATATATCTTGTACTGAAATTATTGGAGCCGATTAAACCCACATATGAGTGAATTATAATGTCTGAATAAACCAGGTGAGGAAAACTTTACAGTCTGCTTCGAAAAAGGTGATACTGGCCGTTTTCCGGCCCAGTACTGTGGCATCCAAGGGTTACACATTATTTGTTAGGATCCAGTGAGTTGTAGCTGGTGTGCTCGCCTATTCTGTGCTGTTGGTTCCACGTCCCGTCTTCTCTGGTTTCTTACTGATTATTGACGGCCATCGTTAAAAACATCCCCAAAACAGGCCTATCCATAATTTACGCACCTACGGACTTAGGTTTTCGTCAGAATGATTTTTCTTTTTCTCCTCCGCCGGACTCTCTGGATCTCGTGTCACATTTAAGTGAGGTCGATGAAACCTGGAGCTGGTTTCGACATTCATTTTTTCTAGAATTTGTCCGCTTCACACGTGGATTTAAATCAAATGGAGGAGTTGAATTATTCGCAATATCGCCTGTTGCAGAGAAAGCCCACCTGATGAAGCAGCTTGCACGCAAACCCTAACAACTTGTGCAGCACACCTGTAAATCATGGCACTTCCTTCTGTGAGAAATTGCACGAATTGCGATCAGAGGCTGTAAACGCCTTAGGTTCCAAACTGCGTGGCGGCCGGACCGGGTCGGCTCGTTCAGGCTGCTTTTACGTGATTCCGGTAAGGCTTATTCGGCTCGCGCGCTCGCCCATCGTCGTGATCAATAGACTGAGTTGATTCAAATAGCACAGCAGCCAACTGCTCCTTCATGCGCGATGACCTTGGATTGACCATGTTCATTGGCTCTGAATCTCCGTCGTAACGTGACTAGATGACTGGCAGATTGTAGAGAGGCCATGGGAGGAGATTTCTGTTCTTCATTGGACGAGATTACGTATCTGCGACAGGGGCGGCGTAGTCGAATTTGGGTGGGGTGGGCAAGGACTTCACGAAAGGCCCCCAAACCGACGGGCCGCTAGATTTCAATTCAGACGCGCAGCCAGAGCCTTGGCAGGGGAGGGGCATAGGGTTGACAATGGGTCTCCTGATAGTAAAAGCCCCCCCCCCCCCAGCCAACCAACTAAAAATCACTAAATATGTCCCATCTGTTCATGAGGGCATATTTTCATACTTTTCATTTTTGCCCTATACAACTAGAACAGAAGCAAGAGGCTACCGGGAGATCGATTCTGCTTGCAATTAACTGAAGGAACCATGCGTTAAATGACTGCATGACATAAATCAGCGGGGCTCTTTGTCTTACAATGGTCCGGTGGTCTTTTTCTATCTTGATATAACTCAGAAGCCTCGTCAGAATCTGTTCTGGTCTGTATCAAGATATCAAGGGCCCCGCCAATGTGGATCGAAATGGATCAACAATATTTGTTAACATAGCCAAGTCATTTTTGTCTACAAATGTTCAACATTTAGTCAGAAGTGAGGAGTGATACAACTTATGTAACGTGGTTTTGAGCAAACGCACTCGCAAATCTTGGCAACAAAACTTCCACGCCAGGCGTTGCAGTCTCCGGAGGCCTTGCAGCGTCGGCCCCGTAGCTAACATTAAACTGTGGCCAGCAGGTGGGCGAAGATGGTGACGCATTTGACAGAAGTACATTTGAACGCGTTAGGACTTCAAATCGTACATCCAGAAGGTAGTCGAGCGTATATTTGACCTGCGCGATTGTTAGGCCGATGAATTGAACGGATTGGCCTTCACAGCACTACAAAGTGGCGCTGTGAAGGCTGATTCAGATGGCAGCAGGAATCTGGTGGTAGAGGCGGAGGAGTAACGATAGAATCTTTCGCCTTCGCCTCAAAAGATGGGGGGGGGGGGGGCTTTGTCCTCGCTGCCCTCCCCCCGCTGTGATAAACTGCAACTGACCCAAGACCGCCCATGGGCTGGATCACTTCGTGAAACACTTAATCTGATACCAGGAAATATTGGTAACGGCCAAGGAGTCCACCAAGTGCATTCTGCATTTTCGGGCTGATGAAAGTACGCTTCCCGGCCACGTCCGACATTTATCGTGGAACTGAAGGCAGCGCAGCCATAAGAGCTCGTGGTACGCTATCATCCTGGAGCGATGTGGCTGAGGTCAATCATCGCTCCAGTATCATCAACGGTTCCTGGACGGCGATGTGGCTGAGGTCAATCATCGCTCCAGTATCATCAACGGTTCCTGGACGGCGATGTGACTGAGGTCAATCATCATCCAAAGGCTCGATGATATGGTCTGAGATGGTTTTACAAAGTTCAACCACTTCTTTTGCAGGATAGATTTGTTCTACAGTTTATGACGACCCGACTGATGCTTGCTGGAAGTCATCCATATCTGAATGGGCATCGGGCCTACAATTTGTGCACTGGCTCTTACCTATACCCAGAAAACTTCATATCGAGTTCGACCGGATCATATCGAATGCAACTCGTCGCTGCTTGCGACACATCCGCCTTTTCCTGCTGCGCTTATCACATCCAGCCAACATGGCATGTGCGCGTGTGAATTGTGTGAATTCACCGCATTCCTACCTGTCATGCTAGCTGATATTGGCGCGTGCTGGTGACTTTCAGCTTTCTCTTGCGCTATCGCAGCCCTTGACAGCACCCAGAAGTGGACTGATTGCGGTAGCGGCCCCTGACAGTGCTTAAAAGCGGACTGGTGGCGGCAACGGCTCTTGTAGTGCCCAGAAGCGGTCTGATGGCAGCAGTGGCTCTTCACAGTACCCAGAAGTGGACTAATGGCGGCAGCGACAATTGACAGCGCTCAGAAGCGCGTTGGTTGCGGCAGCAGCTCACAGCGAGCGCACTCCAGCATAAACACCACCAAGACGTTGTTCCTCAAGCTCAGCAACAATGCCCCCCGTGCCAAGCGACTGGGGGCCAGCACGGCTATGCTTCCGACCCCAGCAGTCGGTGGCACCGTGATCAGCACGCAAGGTACGCGGATCACTTCCTGCTTACTCCGCACCGAGTATTTCGTGTTCAGAACCGAGATGATGATCTCGCTTTAGCACAGTGCCATCACAGCGATTCCTGCATACCGGAACATTACACGAGATGCTCCTCTGGCGCTGATCCGCCACTGTAGAGGAAGTGAAGCAGATTGCCGGGTTTGTGGAGAACGGAAGGGAGTCGTGACCGTGACGTGATGCGCTGCAGACCAGGGATGGAATGTGCTGCAGACCAGGGATGGGATGTGCTGATGACCAGGGATGGGATGTGCTGATGACCAGGGATGGGATGTGCTGATGACCAGGGATGGGATGCACTGCAGACCAGGGATGGGATGTGCTGCAGACCAGGGATGGGATGTGCTGATGACCAGGGATGGATGTGCTGCAGACCAGGGATGGGATGTGCTGATGACCAGGGATGGGATGTGCTGATGACCAGGGATGGGATGCGCTGCAGACCAGGGATGGGATGTGCTGCAGATCAGGGATGGGATGTGCTGCAGACCAGGGATGGGATATGCTGCATACCAGGTATGGAATGTGCTGCAGACCAGGAATGGGATGTGCTGCAGACCAGGAATGGGATGCGCTGCTAGACCAGGGATGGAATGTGCTGCAGACCAGGGATGGGATGGGCTGCAGACCAGGGATGGGATGCGCTGATGACCAGGGATGGAATGTGCTGCAGACCAGGAGTGGGATGTGCTGCAGACCTCGGTCCGTCACGCAAGCTGGGCGTGATGGACTGTGATGGCCTCTCGTGAAGTAAGACGGCAGGCCGCAAATGTACCCATGGTCTGAAAGCCATGCTGGGCCTGGACGTGGAGCACGTGCTGCTTCACCCAAGATAAGAGGAGCATGGAGAGCCCAGTGGTCAAATGGAAAATAACATGGGATGCTGCATCATTACATTAATGCATTATTCGCGTTGCACAGCAAACAAAACATTTAAAATATGAATGACTTGAATCTGTCCGCTTTTCTTGGCACGCCCTGTACATGCTCTGTTCATCTTCGGGACAGCATTTCAATGGCAAAAAGTCAACATGCAACGTGAATTATGTCTGTATAGCTGGACTTTAAATTGCCCCATCCAGAAATGTTCTTTAAACCCGGTTCGATAGCCCAGTTGAGTTGCAGCACCTGGCGTCATCCGGTGTACCCACCAGTGGCGGGATGGGGCGGAGTTGCTTGAGGCGTTCGCCACTTGTCCCTAAATGGGATAGTCCAAGGCCGGTAGCAGCGGCCGCGCTCAAGGTCAGATGACGTCCGCGCGTGCGGTAGACGATGCCGAATATTGCGGCACATTGGACCACCGCCGCAAGATTCTGCCACCGACCCTGAATTTTACTATAGAATGGCGAGGCCAGGGCTCACACAAGCACTGCTTTGCGCTGACGATCAGCCTAAAAATACATTCAAGCAAAGGCCCGTACCTAATCTTGTTCGCCCTCATCATAATGCATTGCAATTCGGCACACACCATAGACCTAAGACAGTGGTCCTTCTCTCACAAATGCAGGCGGTGGGATATGCATCTTTTGACGTTAAATCGTGTGGACGTGGTCATGCCGATGCGTTCCTTTTTCCTGTTAGAACGAACACCCAGAACAATGAGTGAGCTAGCTCTCCCAACTGTGCTGTAAGTTTTCAGGTTAACACAAAATTTAGCTTACGGTTTGGCCAACGAGCCCGTAAGAGCTCAAGGTCACTTTCAGATGTGAGATGGCACGCACCACCGTTGACAAGATCGACCGGGCATCGATCACTTGCAGCAGGTTCAGCTGTTGAGAATCCTTGGCCGCCAGCGAGCAATCTCGGGCGTATTTTTGTCATGATTTTACATATGTGAAATCTCTGATAACTAGCACTCTTGCTACTCGTAGTTTTCGATCAAATTTGCAGTCTAGTATCACCACAGTCACGATTTTGTGATACATACGCTCGCTGCTGTTGACGAAAACGTTGGTGAACTGTGCTATGAGACAACCGGCGCTTGAAGAGCAGGCGCATATTACTTTTTCGATCCGCAAGTGTTATCGGTTGCAAACCTAGCCACATTCGCAGGCTGGCCCAAGTTATAAGAGGATTAACAATATGAAAAACTTTTGGTACCTATGTGAAACTATTTGATACGAAACAAGCATGATGTTACCATTTGTTTTTAGATACTCTGTGTACCAGCAGTCCAGATAAATGTTCTGCACTGCTCAGACCCAGTGTTACCGGTTTGCCCATATACATTAGGTGGGCTCAGAGGAGCATTGGAGAGGGGGTTGGGGGGCTCAAGTCATCATTGGGGAGCTCAGACCCTCGATAGCGTCAAAATTAACACCCCTGGTTGAGCGTATGCAAAAGGAAAAAACGCTACTAAAATAACACGCAGACATGTAAAAAGCGTAGGTTGAAAACAAATATGAGCAATGGTGTGCAACACGTGGCATGGTTTGAAAGAGATGGATGACATAATAACTCGAGACCAAGGGGACACACGCTCGACGCAAACGGCTTAAGTCGTCTTTAAGAACGAAAGCAGAGCTGTTAGCCTGAAACTTGTCCGTCATTTTTTTCCTGCTCGTTAAAGGTAGCCGAGGGCTATCAGTTCAGCATGCGTCGCGTTGAGCTCCAGTTAATGCCATCATATCTTATGTCATTATTCATTCAAAAGCTGCATTGAGCGCCTCGACGCCTTTGAACGAGTGTCAGCAATGCAGTGCTTAACTCCTCCTTAATCCCTCATGCTTAGCATCAGCTACGACACAAAGAAGGAGTAACTAGGCTTTTAAGCCAAACTATGTACACATCGCGAGAACTGGGATTCCTGTGGTATGCATATGACCTGGATTGATCGTCGTATCGGTTGTGTGCTGGGAAAGTGCAGACCGTACTTATAACATACTTGTTGCGGCTTTGTTTCAGACGGAGTCGTGGTTTCCTGCTATATTGTTTCATATGAAGTCGTCCTTTTCTGTTATTGTGAACAGTTGACATTCTTGCCGGTCTTTGTGCAATCCAAACCTATTCAAATATTCAGGCCGTAGATAGCTCAGGCATTTAGTATTCACGCAACAACACGCACAATGCATTAAAATTGCACCCAGTACCGCAGCACAGCGTAAACATACAGCGCGCCCAAAGTAAAATTGCTCCATCCGTGAAAAGCCAAAAACGCCAAAAGCGTGGGACATAAGCGCTTACTTCAATGCCGTGATATGCAGCACGACAAAGGGTTGAGCGAGTTCGCATCGAAGCGCGTACGTTGAACCACAAAACACTAAAGCTACCCGGATCACAGTGGAGTCGTTCCAAAGGACCTGAAAAACACTTATCGGTCACGCCCAAGCTAGATTCCGGGTAGAACACCCGAGTCCGATAAGTCACGAACAGCGGCAAGTTGTCTGCAACGATCTGCTTAAACCCACTGGTTTGGTTACATGACCCGCGATGACATGAGGGAGCATGACGCTACTCGGCCATGCGTGCGACCAATACCAATATAAACATTTGACGTACTTTGACCCACAGTGCTCAGCATGACCACCATCGCGAGCTTCAACCAAGCGTAGGATCCAAGTCAGTCAGTCTTCCCTTCACTTTCGTCACGATAAATGGCCCGAACAGTTAGTCAGCGCCCAACAGCTGGTGGGCAAAGACCACCCGTACCCCACAGAACCACGCGTGTTTGATCCCCGCTCTCGCCCATGGTAGGGGCGCTGGGCGAGACGCGCTCCGGCCAAACGACCAAGCGGGCACAGCGGGCTCGCCCCCACGCCCGTGCCAACACCGGCCGGTGTCCCCAGCCGGGGCCTCTCGAGCGCCCCAATGTCCCCAGCCGGGCTCTCCCCCCAGGGCCTCCCGAGCGGAGCATCCGAGCCGTCCGCATCGCAGTGCCGCGCGGCCGCCGGCTCTAGCGCCGAGGCGGCGGCCCGCAGCAGCGCGTCGGAAGCCTGTGGCGGTAGCGACACAGGACCTCGTCCCAGTCGATGTAGCCGCCCTCGAGCGTGCGCGTGCTGTCGGCGGTGACCGTGTAGCCCCGCCGGCCGTGCAGCACGCGTCGGTTGTTGAAGACCAGCACGTCGCCTGCGGGAGCGGGCCAAATGCCGACAGTCTTGAACACGGCCCGCTGCCGACGGATTTTGCACCAATCAAATGTTCCCAAGGCTATCAAACATAACTACCCTGCAGCTCTTTGTTGGATACTCCAACACTCTTCCTAAAGGTTTCAAAATTCGTCAGGCTTAGCTCTCAAATTTGGTTGACGGCCCAGGAAAGCATGAAAATTGTGCGGGCTTACATAACATTTGCCGAGGAAAGCTGTGAAGTAATGACAGAGCATGACATGGTTTGAAACACGTTTAGTAGCGCGTCGACTTACGTGACGCTGAAGTACAGAGGCACACACATATGTATATATTCATGGTCGTACATAGTTTATTTCAACAAGGAACAGCTTGGCTGGGAACATGATCTTCCACCAGGTCGGTCCAAATCGATGCTAACCCTTCCTTTATACGAAGGGGGGGGGGGCTCAGAAGCTTCCTAAGGATTTTCGGAAGTAGCCTCTGAACGTTTTATAGCACGGTGCTAAAATTTAGGTAAATCAGATAAAATCATTTCTACATGTTATACACGTTATAAAGATTAAAAGCTCCTGACAGATGGTTCAGGAACTATGACGACTGTTTGAGGTTATTTCGATGGCATTTTGCTTAAAAGAGACAAATAACGCCTACATCTTGCAGGCATTGCACTCCAAAGAGGTTTCCTAGCCTCCCTTTCCTAACATTATCATGACAAAGTGCACAACTATCATTCTGTCGGTTTTTTAAGATCATGTCATATTAGGTCAAGCTAGGCCAAACTTTAACTGCAAACTAGATCTGACTGTTTGTAAGGACCATACGCTAGGGAGCTTAAAGGTAATGTCTCAAATTCATATGTGGTTTTTATCTGAAATGGCCATCTTGAAGAACATTCGGTGCAGTTCACAGCCATGCGCCCTGCTTTTCTTAAGACCTAAGCTCCTCTAGTTTCTGAGCAAAACGCCGGCAAAGATGTGCCACCATTTTGTGCAGACTTCTTCAAGGTCACCTAAGCATCCATGACGCTATAAAAACGTCATTTAAATCTCGCTGTTCCATTGTCCGTGCGGCATTCAAGGCCACGACAGATGTAATTGTCGATTCGCTAATATCTGGCGTTCGTGAGCACGCTTTCCAGATGTAACGGCTGCCAATGGGCTCTCAATAAATATTGTGCGAGGCACGATGACCCAGTCAAGTAACGACGAAATTAAAAGCATATGTACTAAATACAGAAACTGTGTTGTCTGCAGCATTCTACTTCACTTAAAAGTATACCAGTAGTTATAAGCCAGCTTATTTCGGCATACGTGTTGCTTGCTTCAATATCCTCCAACGTGGAACATCCCCCTTTTTGGTACATATCTAACACATGTGAGAAGCCTTTTAAATGCAACTTTCCCCGGTTGACGTGGGTTGTTTCGTTCTGGATATGGCCAGGGGGGGGGGGGGGGGCAATGCAGCAATCATCTTTACACTTTTGACTTGGTCTACCTTATCACAGACCGCATGTGTCAATGTTCACAAATGTCTATTTGACAGAGTTTTTCAATGTCTCTCCAAAACCGTCTTCCGCACTGTCGCAGCATACTTAGTTTTTGAGATAACATGAGGGTGTATAACATGTTCATTTAACCTCTATGACCTAGCTTCAACTATCAAAAGTCACATTTGCCGTTGTTAAATCACACATAAACGATGCGTCGTTCAACAACAGCTTGTCAATGCCGTTTTCCACTTTTTCGCTTGCTTGGTTTTCAAGACCGTAGGGGGTCTGGGGCTCTCCCCTCGTAGTGCAAAGGCGACGAAACTCCCGAAGGACGGTGGGAAAAAGCTCGCCTGGGTCAAGGGTCAATTAAAACATACCGTTCACCATTTTGTAGAGCACATGATTCTCTTCTTGCATGGACAGGTCTTGAAACATTTTCAGTCCCTCGAACATGGGCTTCACCGACTCGAGCGGCACGTTCAGGCGGTAGGAGCGGCTTGGGTTGTTGAAGCACACTTGTGTCACTTTGCCTTCCCTGTCCGTCCTGCAGCAGATCCAGAACAATCAAACGGAGCGGGCGCCCCAGGGCTTGTCCTGATTTTTCCTCACCTACTACTCCACGGCTGGGTCACTGTGCCGACATCAGGGAACCCTTAACTGGGGTAATGCTAAGCCGTCGAAGTGAGCCCTCTGGCTGTCATTCCTCGCCGACGATGCTGAACAGCCTAACCGCACGTGAGGGTGGCGTCTGGGACGACTGCACAATGCAATTCAAGATCGACGCCTCAGACCGTTTTTCGTCTCATGTCGCGGGGTGATGAATGATTGACCCTGGCGTTTTCCATGCCCCGGGATTACAAACTCTGTTGTCCCTGTTGTCGGCCATATGTCGACACCATTATGCTCACTTACAGGCGGCGACGCGGCTGCGTGCGCTAGAGGCGCCATTCATGAAAGACGATTGGTAGGGGGCGGGGGCACCAAAAGTGATTTTGAAGCTCTCGAAACATGCTTGTCTTGCGTCGCCGCCGGCCTAACAACACACTCAGAAATCATTGGCGGCGCGGAACCCCAAAGCTAGGCAGAGCAGCAACTGTGACCTGCATCGGGCTCTCAGACCGGGGCGCATGGGATACACTGCTTGTGCGAGTGACGATGACTGCCGTGGAGAGACGCACGACAAACGTCACTCGGCACGACGCGAAATCCGACGTCAGTCGCAAGGCGCGACTGGTGCTGGACATGCCAAACTGGCCATCAAAGCATGAGAACGCTATCGGAACTGGATACACTAAATGAAATGTCGACACGCGAGACTGGCAAACGTCAATGCACGATAGTGGCAAATGTCAACGCACGATACTGGCAAATGTCAATGCAAGGGACTAACAAATGTTGGTGCACGAGAGTGAGTGCTGGAGCTGGCCGGTCGGCTCGTGTAGCACCGGGGGCCTGCGCGAGCGGACACACGTGGCCCATGAGATCGATGCGCGCAGGGCTGTCGTGCTGGCCACGGCGTCTGCAGCGGCCCACTCGCCTGAACATCGTGTGCTCCTGGACCTTGTGGAAAGGGCTGTCGTGGTACTGCTCGCTCTCGACGCCGACGTCGAAGAATTCGAAGGGCATCACGGAGAGTAGCTTGAAGAGGTCGGGCCGCTGCTGACGTATCAGCTGGGCCACGTAGAAGCTATCGGTCAGCGTGTTCTCACCGCCGCTGCCCTGGTGCTGCGAAATGCAGTGCAACATCTGCACCTGTCGCAGCCGCCCCCGAGACCCGGTCAGTACGTGAGGAGGAAACACACCGGGTGATGTGGACGGGTGGCTTCAAGTGCCGAATACACGAGCTAAACAGAAATTGTTGCGCGCACCACGAACTGGCTGACTGGTGCAATTTGTCCTGACGGTTGGGCCGCAGAACATTTGACTCCATGCTGGAGGATGCGAGGGTTGGTAAAGTTCCAGCCAGGCATGTTTGGTCGTCGCATTCAATACCGCGGACGGCGGTGTTCACGCAAGAACTAGGCAAGCTCTCTTCCCAGCTCTGTTTTCTTTCGCTACTAAGAGAGCGAAAGAAAAGAGAAAAGCTTGCATTTTTTCTCGCCTAGGTTCTTGGGCTCTCGATGAACTTAAGTATCTAATTTTGTGTTATTCTCACTTATTGTTAGATCAGACGCGTAGGCTTTTATCCCTAATACCATTGTGTTTCTCGGAATTCTCCTCAATAGCCCAGAATTTTGTTTCTAAATAGCGTTCCTGCAGCAGAAATCTTGTTTGACTCCCTTCTCACCACCATAAAAGTGATACATTTCATTTGCCTTGCTTTTTCCAACCTGTGTGTTCTGTACTATGAACAGCACACTTACGTGTCAACATATTTGTGCAATAAATGCTACGAAAGTCTGAAACATTCTGTTAAAACAGCTACTAACCCGCAACGTCGACGAAGCGTTATAGCATGGCTTTTGATTTCTTCCCTATGGCGTTTAGAACACTGACATTTTACAGCACCATTTTGTCACGGCGCTAAAAGCCGTAATGCTGTGCATCACCCTAAGTTAATTTGCGAGTAAAAGTGTGTCTCGCCCGTTTCGCTAGGCGACTGCTGAGATTATTTTGATGCTGGCAGACTGTCCTTTTTGACATTTCCTAATCAGCCAGTCTATTGGTGCATCGCATCACTCGCTGTGCCAGGAAATATGGTGAGGAAAACCCGCCTTTGTATATCAGTTTTTACTTGACGATTTAACCAAAAACTGATAGGAAGAAATACGGTGACAGCACCGAAAATCATTTTCCCTGTCGAGAACAACCGCTCTATGCTGTGATAAGTATCCCGTCCAGCTTCAATGCCAGGTCACCTTTGATTTGCCCCATAGCGTAAGAAAGTTGAGTACCACATATTCATTTGGCCAGGCCGGCAAACCATCGCAAGCCAGTCGTCGTCAGGCCTGAGACACTTACGCTTTGACTGAAATAAAACAGAGATGCTGGCCGCCCGTTTCTCCACCCCCTACCATTGCGCTCGAGGCGAGTGAACAAACCCACTGGCTAAGCAGGTCATGCTAATAACTGTAAAAAGGGGACAAGGTAAGCAGACGGATATGACGCATATCAAAGTCCGAGGCAAACGTTCTCATAGCGTACAGAGGTGTCTTGCCACATCGTCATGCAACCAAGCCGATGGGAAACCAAGGCGCAGCGACACAGTGACACTGCTACCCGATCTGCAGGCAAACTTACCCGCTTGACGCCACGAAATAGATCCGTTACGACTGTAACGAAAAGTGTGCTGCACCCACTGGCAGCACTTCCCACTCTTTCCGTAGCCGACTGCCGCAGGCAGCATATTCTTGCCATTGTTTTGTTAATGTACACCATAAACCGATAGGACATTCTTAAATAAAGATGGTGTCAGCCACGCACGTAACGTACAGCAAGCAGGGAGTCACGCTCGCATCATTATGACCAAGGCGGTGCGGCGCCAAAGCCCGCCTGACGTTGCAATTATGTGCGAAGAGCCTGAATGCAATTTACTGTGGGTGCATCTGAATTCACGTCACCGCTTGCTGGCACTTCTAAAGCGTCTTAAGAATCAGCCGACGGAAAGTGCTGATTTGTCGCACTGAAATCGTGGTTGACAAAACGGTGCAGGCTTTTATGGTAGCGCACGCAAATGCGCTGCGTAAAAACAATGACATCTTGCACTGAGTTCTTGGTTCGTCATCGCTGAGCCCAAGCTTACATCGCACAAGTCTTTAAGGCAGCCATGTCGTCGAAAATTGTCGAAAACGGGGAATCTATCTTGACCACTTCCGTGTATGTGATGCTTGACACGTGCTATTGCACACATGAAGTGACACGATTCCTTGTTCAGCTTCCTTTCGAAGGATGACAATTTTTTGTGGCTGCGACCGCTCGCTGCCGAGATGTGGCCACGGTTTCGAACGGCTGCTCACCTGTTTCCCGCTGGTTTATTCAGTGCGATAACCTTTAACATGCGCTCGGGTGGGGTTCTGTTTCAGTGATGGTTTCCGAACGGCAAGGCGTAGTCGCGCCACATTTTGCATAGCTGTAGGCAACTGAATAGCGGATCGTTTAATATAACAAAGTTAGATGTACCTGTTAAGGTCACTGACCGATGGCAGGTCAAATTGAGGTCATGATTTCAGTGAAGGCAATGTCTAGGGCATCGTTCAATCTGATCCAAAGACGGGGTGTTAGACGAAGCCATACATCTCTGAGACAGTTTCTTAGGCAACACAACATTTGAATAAACAAATAACATTGACCTAGTGTCAGGTATGAAGGTCGGACTAAGGCCAAGACCAGCCTGCCATATTACTCTAAGGCTTGCCGTATGCGATAGTTTCTGGTGCTCATTTCGAATTTATTGATAAAAGAAACCGCATTATACACTGACCTTAGATGAGCATGTAACCTTTTGCTTAGAAAAGCTATCCAGGTTCCAGGAGCCCTTTAGAGACCAACCTGAAATTTGACCTTGTTTGACCTTATTTGACCCGAAGATCATGACCTGGGAACCTCAAACCTTGACCTAGGTGAGTTCACCTTAAGACTGAGCACTCCATAAATCCGGTGTCTCTAGCCCCCTTAGTTTCTGAGTTCCCAGGGGGAGGGGGTCAAATTGATCCCCCACCCGAGCGAAGGATATTTAACCGGCCGCCCGGGCGCGTGTTAATGCTCATTTATAGCAAACTTTGCTGCCTCCATTTCCTATTACTGACAAATGTTTTTCAGGGTATTCCTCACGTCTTTTGCCCAAAGACATACAACATTTCTCGCTCCGTTTCAAAGCATCGGGGTGATGAATAAACATAGCGATGCGTCGCAATGTTTGCTTCCCTCGAAATCCAGTGACGACCAGATCGAGCCAGCCACTTCCAGAAAAATCCAGGTCGCAGTGTTGGGTTTCTTCTGTTTATTTAGATCAGCGCATGCAAGCCGTAATTTTCGCCCACTATCTCCCGGAGCGAAGAACACATGCGACGTTGAACTGAATCGTCGCCCCCCCCCCCCCCCCCCCTATCGGCGGCACGGCCGCCCTGCGGCGGACATTTCCTAGTAGCTCACAGGGTTTACGCGTAAAAGGTGCCATTCCCAGAGCATGGTAGACATATTCCTGCCCATCTAAGTGCGATGAATCCGATGATAAGAAACCGATCAATTCTTTTGCGGCGCCGATCCCTATACGATGTAGTTTATGTCTATACTATCCAAACCCGAACACACTTGTAAGGCATGTGGAGTCTGTTTTCCTATCCACAATGCTCTTTGGCCACGACAATGCATTGCCTTGGATTGTTGTCGTCATTCTCAAGTCACGGCATTGGAATGCTGTGCCGGCATAATCTTGCTGGTTTTTCATATTCAGAGTTAACTAGTTGATGGGATTGAGAGGGAGTTGGGAAAAGGGGAGCAAGGAGGGGGAAGAGGACAGGAGACAGAGAAGAGACAGAGGAGACATAGAGGGGAGGAATGAGATAAGGATTTGATGCTGAGGCAGTAACGGCAACGAATAGCATGTGATGCATTTATTTCGCCTGTCAAGGTCTCGTTAGTGCTTCACGCTTGTTTGATAGCCGTCTTTATCCACGTAGACTAATTTGCACCCTGATAACAAAAGTTGAGAGTGCTTGGCTGGCCTCCTCTTGGCAATACGGGCTTATTTAGCGGACGGATAAAGGGGACAGTCGTCCCTCCCAGCCGTCTGCGAAGTACATAAGGGCTTTGTTTGCAGACGAGATTGGTTCAGTCTCATGCAATATAAAGCAGGTGCCTTGACGATAGCGTCCGGCTCATGTGACTGGCAGCAATGATCGTTGTATATCGGATTATAGCGCCATTGACTCACTGCGAAGCCCAGGGACTATGTTACCACAAACGACTGGCTGGAAACGGGGTCTTGAAATCGAGGACATGGCACAGTACGAGTTTGTTTGTCGATTGAGACCGCTGGGTCAAGTGAGTTCACCTTCTCACGAGCCGCGGGTGCAGCGTAATTAATTGGGCCACTTGATGTTCATTCCGTCTATTTGTTGAACGGCCATCATTGTTTCGGCCCAGTCTTTCCCAGTCCGTTGGCTGTACATAGACGAAATGGTTTCACTCACAAGTTGCTTCTATGGTGCCACGAACATTCAGCCTATGTTTTCGTGCAGTGCTATTGCATTATCTCGGTCACGCCAGTCAAACAGTTGCGTCGTCTGAGTACCCACAGGTACCGGGCATAAGGTACATCCACAGGTACATCATAGGTACATCAGGTACAGGTACATCATAGCATCCACAGGTACCGGGCTTAAGGTACCGCACCTAGCATGCTTATACCAGATAGGGTTTAGCGAACATGCCTTAATAACATTCACTGACTGGTGGTGTGGCACAACCCCACAAACATTTCACGGACGAGCAGATTTCGTCCAGGTCTGTCAATAAGAGCCGTGTGGAAAAAAAAACTTCTCGCCGTTTGGAAATGTCGCCGGTGATTTTTGGACCGTAGGACACGGAAAATGTCTGCCCTCTGGGCATATCCTGTATGGACATAAAACTTGATCAGACTCCAAGACGTGCTAGAAAAGTACGCTAGACCATGGGTATTAGCATTTGGCGTTTGAATTGCATTTTATTCCGCCTATCAACCATCCGAAGATTTATGTCTTACCTGAAACATGACATGTTTCCCCGCGTCTAAGCAGTACACATTGCGAAAAAACAGCCAGATCCAATACTTG